GTTGGTTATCTACTTTCATCAAATAGACCTACTACTTTCAGGAAGTAGATTATCGACTTTTTCGAGGGAAGTAAGATTTTTCGAATTTTGGAAATATTACCTAATTTTGCCAAGTAGATTATCATAGAAGCAGGAAATTTGTATCATAAAATGGGAAATATCTACTTTCCGGGAAGTTGGTTATCTCTTTTCTCGAAAAAGTAGATATGGGTACTACTGCTTTTCGGGAAAGTAGATTATCGGCTTTATGAGAGTAGATTTTTCAATTTTGGAAATATTACCTAATTTTGCAAAGTAGATTATCATAGAAGCAGAAATTTGTATCATAAAATGGGAAATATCTGCTCGGGAAAGTTGGTTATCTACTTTCCCGAAAAGTAGATGAATTTTCTACTTTCGGGAAAGTAGATTATAGACTTTCCGGGAAGTAGATTTTCGAATTTAAGAAATATTACTAATTTTTGCCAAGTAGATTATCATAGAAACAGAAATTTGTATCATAAAAATGGGGAAATATCTGCTTTCGGGAAGGTTGATTTATCTACTTTTCCCGAAAAGTAGATGAATTTTCTACTTTTCGGGAAAGTAGATTATCGACTTCTGAAGTAGATTTTTCCGAATACGGAAACCTTTACTAATTTTGCCAAGTAGATTGTCAGAAACGAAATTTGTATCATAAAAATGAAATATCTACTTTCAGGAAGTTGGTTATCTACTTTCCCGAAAAGTGGGCCGTTCTACTTTCGGAAAAAGTAGATTATCGACTTTTCGGGGAAGTAGATTTTTCGAATTTTGGAAATATTACCTAATTTGCCAAGTAGATTATCATAGAAACGGGAAATTTGTATCATAAAAATAGAAATATCTGCTTTCCGGGAAAGTTGGTTATCTACTTTTGAAGTGAAAATCTATCTACTAGGAAAGTAGATGAAAATCAAATAATATTTCCCCAAAATTCGAAAAATCTACTTCCCGAAAAAGTCGATAATCTACTTTCGAAAAGTGAAAATCTATCTACTTTTCGGGAAAGTAGATAACCAACTTTCGGAAAGTAGATATTTCCCATTTTTATGATACAAATTTCGTTTTCTGCGTGTCCTATGGCAAGCTTCGACAACAACCAACCATGGAAAGTGAATGTTTTGACCTGTTCAGGAAGTATCTTTTTAGACTTTCAAAACGTGAAAGTAGATAACCAACTTTCCCGGAGAGTAGATGTTTCCCATTTTTGTGATGCAAATTTCCGTTTTCTGTGATAATCTGCTTTGCCAAGGAATTGGGTAATCGGCTACCCCAAAGGATTAAAATCTACTTCTAAAAATCGATAATCTCTTTAAAAAAAATGAAAATACTTTTCAGGGAAGTAGATAACCAACTCCCGGAAGTAGATATTTTCCCATTTTTGTAATTAAATTTCCGTTTAAATGTCTACTTGAAAAAAGTAGACCAACTTCCAGAAAATTAGAGAATCTATCTACTTTTCGGGAGAGTAGATAGCCAACTCGGAGAGTGAGATATTTCCCATTTTGTGATCTGATTTCCAGATCTGGCAAAAGTAGAAATCTGCTTTTCGGGGAAAGTAGATAACCAACTTTCCCGGAAAGTAGATATTTCCCATTTTTATGATACAAATTTCCCGTTTTCTCTGATAATCTACTTGGCAAAATTGAGTATATTTCCCCAAAATTCGAAAATCTACTTCCCGAAAGTCGATAATCTACTTTCCCGAAAAGTAAAAGAAAATCTATCTACTTTTCGGGAAGTAGACTAATACTTTCGGAAAGTAGATATTTCCCATTTTTTATGATACAAATTTGCGTTTCTATGATAATCTACTTGGCAAAAGAATTAGGTAATATTTCCCCCAAAATTCGAAAATCTACTTCCCCGAAAAGTCGATAATCTACTTTCCCGAAGTAGAAAAATCTATCTTCTTTTTTCGGGAAAGTAGATACTCTTTCGGAAAGTAGATATTTCCCATTTTTATGATACAAAATTTCCGTTCTATGATAATCTACTTGGCAAAATTGGTAATATTTCCCCAAAATTCGAAAATCTACTTCCCCGAAAAAGTCGATAATCTACTTTCCCGAAAAGTAGAAATCTATCTACTTTTCGGGAAAGTAAATAACCAACTTTCGGAAAGTAGATATTTCCATTTTTATGATACAAATTTTAATTTTCTGATAATCTCTTGGCAAAATTAGGTAATGCTACAAATTCGAAAATCTACTTTGAAAAGTCGATAATCTACTTTCGAAAATCAGAAAATCTATCTACTTTTCGGGAAATCAAATAACTTTTTCGGAAGTAGATATTTCCATTTTTTATGAAGTACAAATTTCCCGTTTTCTATGATAATCTACTTGGCAAAATTAGGTAATATTTCCCCAAATTCAATCTACTTCGAAAAGTCGATAAATACTTTTGAAAAAGTGAAAATCTATCTACTGCTTTTCGAAGTAAATAACAACTTTCGGAAAGTAGATATTTTCCCATTTTTTATGATACAAATTTCCCGTTTTCTATGATAATCTACTTGGCAAGGAGTAGGTAATATTTCCCCCAAAATTCGAAAATCTACTTCCCGAAGTCGATAATCTACTTTTCGAAAAGTGAAAATATATCTACTTTTCAAGGAAATGAATAACCAACTTTCGGAAAGTAGATATTTCTATTTTTATGATACAAATTTCCGTTTTCTATATTAATCTGCTTGGCAAGAGTAGGTAATATTTCCCCAAAATTCGAAAATCTACTTCCCCGAAAAGTCGATAATCTACTTTCGAAAAGTAGAAAATCTATCTTTCGGGAAAATAGACTTTCCAACTTTCCGGAAAGTAGATATTTCCCCATTTTTTATGATACAAATTTCCCGTTTCTATGATAATCTGCTTGTAAAATTAGAGTATGTTCCCCCCATAATTCGAAAATCTACTTTGAAAGGTCGATAATCTGCTTTCCCGAAAAGTGAAAATCTATCTCTACTTTTCGGGAAAAGTGGGCCAATAACTTTCGGAAAGTAGATATTTCTGACCCTATGATACAAATTTCCGTTTTCTGTGATAATCTGCTTGGCAAAATTAGGTAATATTTTAAAATTCGAAAATCTACTTCCCCGAAAAGTCGATAATCTACTTTCCCGAAAAGTAGAAAATCTGTCACTTTTCGGGAAAGTAGATAACTCTTTCGGAAAGTAGATATTTCCCATTTTTATGATACAAATTTTCCGTTTTTATGATAATCTACTTGGCAAAATTGGGTATGTTTCCACAAATTCGAAAATCTACTTCCCGAAAAGTCGATAATCTGCTTTTCCCGAAAAGTAGAAAATCTATCTACTTTTCGGAAAGTGAGTAACCAGATAATCTACTTTCCCGAAAGTAGAAAATCTATCTACTTTTCGGGAAAGTGGCTAACCAACTTTCCCGGAAAATAGATATTTCCCATTTTTTATGATACAAATTTCCCGTTTTCTATGATAATCTACTTCGCAAAATTAGGTAGTATTTCCCCCCAAATTCGAAAATCTACTTCCCCGAAAAATCGATAATCTACTTTCCCGAAAAGTAGAAAATATATCTACTTTTCGGGAAAGTAGATAACCAACTTTCCTGAAAGTAGATATTTCCTATTTTTATGATACAAATTTCCTGCTTTATGATAATTCATTTGGCAAAATTAGTAATATTTCAAATGAAAAATCTACTTCGAAAAGTCGATAATCTACCGAAAAGTAGAAAATTATTCACTGAAAGTAGATAACCAACTTTCCAGGAAAGTAGATATTTCCCATTTTTTATGATACAAATTTCCCGTTTTCTATGATAATCTACTTCGCAAAATTAGGTAATATTTCCCCAAAATTCGAAAATCTACTTCGAAAAGTCGATAATCTACTTTACCGAAAAGTAGAAAATCTATCTACTTTCGGGAAAGTATATAACCAACTTTCCCGGAAAGTAGAAATTTCCCATTTTTTATGATACAAATTTCCGTTTCTATGATAATTACTTAGAGTAATATTTCAAAATTGAAAAATTATCAAAAAGTCGATAATCTAGTTTTCGTAGAAAATATATTTACTAGAAAGTAGATAACCAACTTTCCCGGAAAGTAGATATTTCCTTTTTTATGATACAAATTTCCCGTTTTCTATGATAATCTACTTGGCAAAAATTAGGTAATATTTCCCCAAATTCGAAAATCTACTTCCCCGAAAAGTCGATAATCTACTTTCCCGAAAAGTAGAAAATCTATCTACTTTTCGGGAAAGTAGATAACCAACTTTCCCGGAAAGTAGATATTTCCCATTTTTTATGATACAAATTTCCCGTTTTCTATGATAATCTACTTGGCAAAATTAGGTAATATTTCCCCCAAAATTCGAAAATCTACTTCCCCGAAAAGTCGATAATCTAGTTTCCCGAAAAGTAGAAAATATATCTACTTTTCGGGAAAGTAGATAACCAACTTTCCCGGAAAGTAGATATTTCCCATTTTTTATGATACAAATTTCCCGTTTTTTATGATAATCTACTTGGCAAAATTAGGTAATATTTCCCCCAAAATTCGAAAATCTACTTCCCCAATAATTTTTTAAGTTAAGAAATCAGAGAGGGTTGGACTAGAATGGGTAGACAAGTGTAGCACAAATAATATGTAGGTTTTGGGGAAGTGGAAACTTATACCAGGGCAGACAGTTGATGGAAACAAAACAAGATTGGAGGATAGTCAGTAATTAACTAGGGATTATGATTATTTTCTAGGGAACTCTAGGAAGCCTGTTTCTCTCAAAAACATATGGATAAGATAAATAAAATTGAAAATGAATAATAGATGCTGATGTAGTTCCCTCATATTACACTAAGGTTGGAGGAGGTCAAGAGTTTTAGCTGGGTGACCAAGGATGATTTTTAGGCTGGACTGTAATAAGGTTTCTTTCATTATTCCTGACTGATGTCATTAGGCTGGAATTGTGTCAAAGACAGTGTTTTAAATTACTTTCCTTACTTGTTTATTATCAATAAATACAGAATACTTGGTATGTTACAATATATTTGTAATACGTATATGTACAAAAATGTATCACTTCATCAATATGTTTCACTTTACAGTACAGTACTCATACATAATCGAAAAAATCAAAAGTACCTACAAATTAATCTTATATAAATCCAAAATTCTTTATAGCAGATGTAGGAACAATGTGTTAAGTTCCTCACCTCAAACTATGTCAATAAAAGCCATTAAATTTTGAGCCAAAAAAATAACTATGATAATTAAATAATTTATACAAAATTAAGATGCAAAATAAAGGATGAGCTTTATTCGCATACACAGATATACTGTAATATGAAATTTCACTACTTTCTTTTTCTGAACAAGGAAACTAATTTGCCACTGCCTCTTTGGAAGCAGCGAAATTAGCCATTCTTTCCTCAAGGACAGGCCGGAAGTGTCGAATTAGTCCCTGAACTGGCCAAGCAGCACCATCACCCAGAGCACATATTGTGTGACCTTCTATCTGCTTGGAAACTTCCCATAGGGCATCAATTTCTTCTGGTCGAGCATCACCTTTCACTGTTGATAAAAAGAATTATAAATTTAAGACTGATTCTGAAATCCCATCTTATGGTTGAAAACAGTCTTAAAATTACTTGTCTGGACCCAGAAGACCTATAATTAGTAGCTGGGGTTACTCTTGTCAAACAGTTCATATAAAGCAGTATTAGTTACAAGATTAGCGAGGTTATCCTTAAACTATATCTTGCGCTTGTGAGACCTCACTTGGATTACGCAGTTCAGTTCTGGTCACCGTATTACAGAATGGATATAGAATCCCTAGAAAGAATTCAGAGGAGAATGACAAGACTAATCCCAGGAATTAGGAACCTTGAGTAGAGACAGGTGAAAGCATTTTAATTTCCACTCCCTCAAAAGACATAGAGTGAGGGACGATTTGATCGAGGTGTATAAATGGAAGTCAGGGTTAAACAAAGGAAATGTAACAAAGGTACTCAAACTATCCAACCAGGAGCGAACTCGTACCAATGGTTTTAAATTAGACAAATTTAGATTTAGGCGCGAGATAGGTAAACATTGGTTTGGAAATAGAGTAGTGGATGAGTGAAACAAGTTACCAAACACCATCATTAACTCGAATACCATGGATAGCTTCAAACATAGGTTGGATGGATATATGAGCAATAGGGGCTGGGTGTAAATGGGACTGCCCAGTAATGACCAATACCAGTAGACCCGCTGCAGTTTCCTCCATTCTTATGTTCTTATGTATGTATACAGTACCACCCTGTGGTAACCGTCACTCTTGGAAAGAGGTATTGATGCAATTGTTCACATTCAAAGTAGGAGGCAGAACGAACAAGTGATGTCACACTGTGTTGAATTCACATAGTACCAACAAAGTTAGGCAACATTAGGTCTGGTTAGTACTTGGATGGGTGATCGCCTGGGAATGCCAGATGCTGTTGGCATATAAACTAAAGGACCCTGTTGGAAATAAGCATCTCATGACTTTGTCAGCTATCCTTGGTCAAATTACCTGAATATTGTTATCAATTATTATTACTATTAAGACAGAAAAACACATATATCAGGTTTTGAACAAAAAAGTGCATTGGATTTTTACTTAATGTGACATAGTGCACTGAAAGACATCAGTGGGATTACCATAGCCTATGATGTTTTCCACTTATGCCTCATTTAATTTGTAGCTGGTTTCATTATTTCACAAATATCATTTTCACTAAAACTACTTTCAGTTATGTATTCTGAATCAAACTGATCTGAAAGCAGTTCGTTTTCATTCTCTCTCAAATCAATAGACAGAAGAATGTCACTATGGGGAATCAACCATACTTATTCAATATCTAAGTTACTTTCATCAGTCAAAATAACTTACCAAATCTACTCATTATCTTGAACATCCAAGATACTCCCTCGCGGCATGGTGTGCACTGACCGCAGGATTCATGCTTGTAAAACTCAATAAGGCGTGCAATAGCTTTCACAATATCTGTCTGCTTATTCATTACAATAACAGCAGCAGTACCAAGTGAAGTTTGGCAAGCCACCAACCCATCAAAGTCCATAAGAGCTTCTTCACATACACTGAAAAGAAAAGTAATACAACTTAGATTAGACATGAGCTTTTTAAGTTACAAAGCCATGGAAGAGATATTTGAGATACAGAAGCCAAGTTAAACTTTTTATTCATGTCTATGAATGCACTTGTAATATTGAAAATGAGTCATTCTGTGCCAACTCTCACTAAAAACAGAATTTTCAGAGGTAACCACCTCCAATTTGTTTGAAATTTTACCGTACCTAACCATGGAAAGTTATGGCAGAATGAAATTAACGGGTGTGGCCCATTTTTTGCACTTGTGACTCCAGTGAGTGACCTAGGAATACTTTTAGTACTACAGTCAGCATCTGCTTAATGTACAGTACAGTACATCTGATGTGCACACTGCAAGAAAAGTATCTTAACAGCTGGGTATAATGGACTTCAGAGAGAGCACAGTGGCTCTTGTTGTATCAGAAGGGTTGATATGCCTGACTATGAACTGCACTTCTTAATAATGTTTGTAGCTCCTGTTAATGCTATCTTTGGAAAGAAATAACAAAGATTTTTTTTTTAACAGTGATTAGCCCACCCGGGCACAGGTCACTGACCCACATCAGGGCCAGGGGGGGGGGAATGTAATAATAATAATAATAATAATAATAATAATAATAATAATAATAATAATAATAATAATAATAATAATAATAATAATAATAATAATAATAATAATAATAATAATAATAATAATAATAATAATAATAATAATAATAATAATATAATAATAATAATAATAATAATAATAATAATAATAATAATAATAATAATACAGTAAAAGTCCAAAAATCCGGATGCCAGGAATCCGGACCACCCGAGAATCCGGACTTTTCGAAAACTCAAACTTTTTAAATTTAGCGGGCTTTTGTGGGTTATGTGAATGAATGGAGTTGCTTTAAAGAATTAATTTACATAATTCTAATAATAAAAGTAATTGTAAATTATATATAGGTAGCTAATTTTGTTAGTTTTGTAATTAGCTTGAACTGAAATGTAAAATTTGAGGCACTATAAATCTTTTGTGTGTATGTGTGCATGTGTGAATGCCACAGCTGCACAACGACAACAAACGACCACACGATCGCCACTTTAAAACAAGCAATCAAACTGTGACAACGTATGTAATTTTGAGTCCTACTTTTTCCATGTACAGAGTACAAGCCCATAATAATGGCCCCTAAAGTAGATAAACTTCATTGTGTGAAGAGAAAGAAGAACACATTGAAATTTAGTGACAAACTTGAAATAATTAAGAAACTAGAATGTAATGTGAGCAATGCTGTTTTAATGGAAACATACAACATTGGAAAGTCTACAATTTATGATATAAAAAAGGCAAAGAATAAAATTCTAGAATTCACAGCTTCTTCTGAGCCTTACATTTAAATTGCTGAAAGAAAAAGTTTACATTGCCCCAAATTAGAAAATCTTGATAAAGTGTTGCACGAATGGTTTTTGTTAAAACGATCAGAAGGTATGGCAATTTCTGGGCCGATGCTTATTGCCAAAGCAAAGTCTTTTAAGGAGCAAATGAACATTGAATCAGAGTGCGCATTTAGTGATGGATGGCTTAGGAATTTCAAGACTCGTCATGGTATTAGACAGTTTGTTTACATTTTTGTCTAGTGTTGACTTTATTTTTCTTTAAAACTGCTCGTTTTGATAAATGAAGCATGCTTTACTTGCTAATGAATAAACTATCAAAATGTACCTGTTCATCTCTTCTTTATTCCTCCTTAAATTTTAATTTTAAAAGTACTGCCTGAGAATCCGGAAAATCCGAAAATCCGGACCGACCCAATCCCCAAGCAGTCCGGATTTTTGGACTTCTACTGTAATAATAATAATAATAATAATAATAATAATAATAATAATAATAATAATAATAATAATAATAATAATAATAATAAAATAATAAAAAACCATAAAGAAATACAAAAATGAAAAAAGATCAAGAGTGAGAAACAATATACAGAGTATATGTACAGTATGTTGTGTTGTCAAAGGCAAGAGAAATAATTGAGACCCTGCAATTGTGTGTAAATGAGGCAGAAAGTCAGATCAGCAACCTGGGACTTGGTCATAATTTTTGTGATGCCATATGGCAGCAGGATCTACCATTAGACAACACATTATGTTTCCAATATCTTCCCAGGCAGTAGTACCTCCCTGTTTGATAGCTGCCTACTACCTACAGTACAGTATAACATCCTGAGACCAAGATGCCACAGTTCGCTTTATTTTACACACATTTAGACACATCCAAATCAGGAAATAAGTTGCCATTTAGGAGTACAGGTATTGTACAGATATTTTGAAGTAGGAGAAAATTTTATTACTTACTATTGTACAGGTGAAGCCTCTTTAAAAACATGTTTGATAGCTGTATTCCTTCCCTCCTCTACATAATACCCATTATTGTACCTTAGCTAAACTTTATCCTGTACAGTAGGGTCGAGATATATCGCAACTTTATATAAAGATTTTTTTATATCGCGGCTATCAGAATTATCTAAATTTTCCTAAACAGTGATCTCTCGGTTAACGAACGCCTCAGTTAACGAAATTTCGGTTAACGAATTACCTTCCACAAGAATCTTCAATTCGGTTAACGAATTCCTTACAAATTCTTCTCAACATGTTTTTGCTTGCTCACCAGCTGGAATATTAATCCGCCAATACAGTAATCAGTTCTAGGGCTTAAATTCGTTCCCATTTGAGTAAATATCAAGAAGGTTGTACTATTCAATAATCTTAAAAGTTTTATATTAATTTTTTTTAGTCATTTTAACAATTATTGAACATAATTGAAGTACAGGAAACTAGTTTTTAGCATGCCAAACAGCCACTTGACTCACCCAGCAGGCGTCAGTTTGTCTCTGCTCAGTGGAGGTAATATCTTGCTTGAGACTCTCTCGAACATAAAGTATTTTTACGTTTTTACAGTACAATTATTGGTCATTCTGAAATTTATTTTACATATTGACAATATATATAGTGCAGTGCAGTGTTGATTTAAAGAAAATAATCTTGAATTACACCTAGTAAACTTAAAATTTTATGGGTGAAATGGCGGCATGAAGCATGGGGTGATTTCTCTTCCACTCCCACTTCCTTCTCTTCTCCCTTCTCCTCCACCCCCACTTCGAATTCCAATCATCATCATCATCAACCAGGAGCCATCTACATGCACACCTCAAAGTAAGTGTACTTTACTGCATTACACAATACCGGTACACTATTTCATATGATAAACTCTCTAACAATAAAACATTTAATTTGATGTAATATAAGTATAGTACAGTGACCCCTCGGTTAACGAACTCAATCCGTTCCAGAAGGTCGTTCGTTAACCGAAAAGTTCGTTAACCGAAACCATTGTTTCAATGGGTTTTTGGGTAATTGGTTCCAGCTCACTGAAAATTTCCTAAATTCAACAAAAATGGTAGAAAAGTTCACTTACTTTGAGGTGTGTATGTAGAAGGCTCCTGATGATGATGATGATGATGATGATGATGATGGATTTAGAATGGGGGTGGAGGAGAAGGAAGAAGAGAAGGCATTGGGGTGGAAGAGAAGTCACCCCATGGCGCCATTTCACCAATAAAATTTTAGCTCTCTCGGTGTAATTCAAGATTATTTTCTTTAAATCAACACTGCACTGCATTATATATTGTCAATATGTAAAATATATTTCAAAATGACCAATAATTTGCTTGGAAACACAGAAAAAAAGCGTTTAGTTGAAGAGAGTCTCAAGCAAGATGTTACCTCCAGTGAAAACAGAGAGAGACTAACGCCTGTTTGCTGTGTTATGAGGCTGGATGCCGCGCATTAAACTAGTCACTTTACCTTCAATTATGTTCAATAATTGTTAAAATCACTAAAAAATTGAATATTAAACTTTTAAAATTATTGTATAGTATAAACTTCTTGATATTTACTAAAATAGTAAGGAATTTAAGCCCTAGAACCGATTAATGTATTGGCGGACTGATACTAAAGCTGGTTGCCCGGTCAGTGCAAGCGAAAACATGTTGAGGTCGGTTCGTAAGATATTCGTTAACCGAATTTTTGTTCGTTAACCGAATTGAAGATCCTTATGGAAGGCAGTTCGTTAACCGAAATTTCGTTAACCGAGGCGTTCGTTAAACGAGGGGTCACTGTATATAACAAATTGACTCTAGGCCTCGGTTACATGGTAGGAATGAACAGAGTGGGATGAAATTGACATACAGGAATGACTAAGACTACCTGTAGCATAAACCTTGACACAAAATCGGTATCTCAACATCCATAACAATAATCTTAAGCATAAAATCTTCCAAAGTTTGTTGATTACTTTATAAGTGACAAATAAGAGGCGCACTTACTGTTTGGGAATGACTGGTGTAGATGAACCACCAGGAATAACACCAAGAAGATTTTCCCAGCCGCCTGTCACACCACCTGCATGACGTTCAATTAACTCGCGCAGAGGAACGGACATCTCTTCTTCTACTGTACACGGGTTGTTTACGTGGCCAGAAATGTTAAACAGCTTTGTGCCACTGTTACGGGGCCGGCCCAACCCTACAAACCAGCTGCCGCCACGTCGACAGATGGTCTGAAAATAAAATCAACATATGATTTACATTTGCAGTGAACATGATCCAGTGATGAGATATACTTTTGTAACATAACTACAATAATACTGTACATTATAACTAAACTGACATCAGTTAAAGTTTAGTTAGAATAATGTTTATACTGTACAGTAAAGCCTCTGATAACAACGGTTCGACCAACAACTTTTCATATTTACAACCCTAGTTAATTTAGGACCCAATAGAACAAACCACTTGGAGGTCCCAAAGGATGACATTCTTCAATGGGAGAATTTTGAACAATGCCGAGAGACAGTTTAAAGAAGGTACATGTCCTACTGTGAAATGTTTTGACATCCCTCTTGGAAACCTAGTCAGTCAACAAATATATCTTGAGTGTCTTTCATGCTTCATATCCATGAGTTTTACACCCTTGTTTTAGAGGGATCGGGCTCAAGAAATAGGGAGCATGCCTTGATGGTATCACATGGAGCACCGATATCAAACACAGTTGTATTGCCGATTCAAAATTTCTGCATGATCTTTTGGGAACAGAGCGTTTATTATTGATGATGGCTAGCACTTCAAATTTATCTTTCATGGTAAGGTGCTTTCTGCTCTTTGATTGTACTGTACTATACTGATAACTTAAATAGCTATAGCAAAAAACTGAAAATGCATTGCAACAGGGCATACCTGGCAAGAACTAGGCCTGTAAATACCTGGCACTTGTTCTACCTGACATATATTAAAAAGAATATTGTGTATTACATTACTGAACTTAAATTTTACCCCTGCAAACAGAGAACTGAATCAATGAACTTACCGGAGCAACAGCGACAGTCTCAACATTGGCAACAGTGGTTGGACAACCAAACACTCCAACATCTGCTGGGAATGGTGGCTTGAGGCGTGGCTTACCCTGCTTGCCTTCCAGGGATTCAATAAGAGCAGTCTCCTCACCACAGATGTAGGCTCCAGCACCACGATGCATGAACACGTCAAAGTCATAACCAGAGCCACATGCATTCTCACCGAGGAATCCAGCTTTGTAGGCCTGAAGACAAATTTATGATATAGTGATGATGTTGGGGGGAGTAGTGGTGGTAGGGAGTAGTGGCGATGGTGGGGAGTAGTAGTGATCATGGTGGGGATGGCATTGGTGGTGTGGATGCTGTAATTTAACTCCTGCTCACTAATTAACTAGAGATCAATTAATGTTTCATAATAAAAGCAAAGCTTATTTCAGCAAACCTTATGTACATTATTTACTACTCACCTCATTGATGGCAACCTGCATATTAGACGCTTCATTGTAAAATTCGCCTCGGATATAGATGTATGCTGCCCGGGCCCCCATGGCATGGCCAGCAACCAGACAACCCTCAACTAACTTGTGGGGATCATGTCGCATGATCTCACGATCTTTACAAGTGCCAGGTTCTCCCTCATCAGCGTTCACCACTAAGTATTTGGGCCTTCCATCAGAACTGTTGGAAAAATATAAGTTTTGAACAGAAAGATTGTAATAACTTCAAAGTACTGTTTTTAAGCAGTCAAACACATGATTTACTAAAAACTATTTAACAGGAAAAAGACAATCTGGGTCATCATTGGGATTTTCTAGAGAAAGGGTTTTCACCAGGTCATATGGAAAGACATGTGAAACCAAGGAGGCAAACTTCCAAGGACAAAGGCATTCATCCATTACCTTTTTTTGAAATGTGAGAGTACAACAGGTATCCCTCATTCAACAATGGGGTTGTGTTCCTGAAAACCTAACATTAAGCAAAATTATCATGAAACGAGGTATAAGTGGGGGATGCAGCTTACTATCACATATAAATTTTCGCAAAGCCGCAAAAATACCCGTAATTCGCAATCTGATATTTCACGATGTCTTTTGGTACCTAACCCACTAATTATCACGACTCCACTGTACAAAGCTATGCACTGGCTGACTATTTTTAATTTCTCAGGAGTCAATCAAGAAGATAGTGATACGAAAATTCACACTCTCGGGGTTGTCACTGGACAGTACTTACGGTTTATTCATGAAGCTCCATTTCATGCCTGATGGAAACCCTGCACCACCGCGGCCACGAAGGCCAGATGTCTTGATTTCATTCAGTATCCAGTCAGTTCCTTTTAAGATGATCTCTTTGGTCTTATACCAGTCACCTCGACTGAGAGCTCCCTTCATCCTCCAGTCATGACGACCATACAAGTTGGTGAAAATACGATCAGCATCAGCAAGTGGGCCATATACCTGTAATTATAACAACAAAACAATAATATTCATATCTAAAAATGTAAATCATATGTAATTTGAACCAAAACATTATTATAACTGATGATGACAAAACTACAACATACTGTACATATCTTAATCATCTCAGCTACAACATAATGCATTCAAGAAATACTGTATTTTTACATCAATACTTTATATTTACCTTATTCGAGTTAAACCGTTTGGCAATAAGTGAGCTGGTGCCTGGATCTGAAAATTTTAAAACAAAATTAGTTACACTAATTTTAATTTTACAAGTAATGTATTGTACTGTCCATTCAAACATGGATTAAAGATCCTCTTCATTACTATAAGTTCCTGCAGCACTAACAACAACATATAATTGAAACAAACAGCTAAGTCATCTTCACGGTCATAATAGTTGTGCAAAACTGCAAATCTGGCTACAAAAACCTATTGTATATATTGCTCTTTATATAGTGATTGTTTCTATTAACCATAAGAAAACTTATTATTAAGAATATATATATATACAGTATATATATATATATATATATATATATATATATATATATATATATATATATATATATATATATATATATATATATATATATATATATATATATATATATATATATATGCTGGTAACCACAAGGAAAGAAGAAAACACGAAGTTCCCAAGCGCTTTGCTGAATCTCAGCAGCCATTCCTTTGACCATTCTTGGAGCTCACAGAGGTCCTTCTGCAGCTCTTCACAGTCCTCTTGGTTCTTGATTTCCCAAAATAACTTGGCGTCATCCACAAACATTTGTATAGAGGAGTGTACAACGTCAGGCATGTCATTTATGAAACAAACAAACAACAGCGAGCCCATTACACTGCCCTGTGGTACCCTGTTTGTGACCGGTACAGATGGTGATTCCGTACCATTAATCACAACACACTGCTTGCGGTCATGTAGAAAGTCTTTTATCCATGCTAGGACATTTCCCCAAATTCCGTACTCTTCCAGTTTGATTTTCAGCCTTTTGTGGGGCACACTGTCGAAAGCCTTGGCAAAATCTAGGTATACATTGTCGATATTACCACCCCGTTGAGCAATTGTGTTAATCAGGAGCGCCCCAGCATAAAACCGTGTTGGTAATGCTTTACAAGGTTGTTTCATAGTAGATATTCCATCGAGGCATCTCTGATAATCATAACACATCTCACTGATGAAAATATATTAAGAATATAAACATAAAAAAATAAAGCATCGGCGGTGTAGTCGTCAATATTAGCCCTAGAAAACTAAGCATTTACACAAGAAAATTAATAGAACTGAAAGTAGTCAGCGAACAAAACTGTCTAAAAGCACCATCATAATTACAGAATTGCTGACGGTCACGAGTCATATATTAGCCCTGATTAGAGACCATGCGTAAGCCTAGGCAAAGGACACAGCCTGGAAGAGCTTTCTCGACTATCCTTGGTCGTATTGCCTTACTGTTTACCATTTTTGTTTACCTGCACCTCAGCAGACAGCCTACGGTCCCTATACCTACAGTGTATATATTCCTGCTGCACTGTATACCTGCATAGTTTATATACATCTTTATCCAATTATAAACGTGTAGATAACTTTACTGAACAAATAATATTAATATTACTTACTTAATGTGGCTCTCAATACAGGGGTAACTCTACACAGCCCCGCCATCATCAGCTGTTGTTCTGTTCACCGGAGTGAGTCAAGCGAGGGTCAGCGTCTGGTCGCTTTATGTAATTCAGTTTATGCAAGGATATTTAAAGTCTCTTTTCTCAAAATAATATAAATGATTTAGTTTACAAATTCATTAATAATAACAATTATAGGAGACGCGAACTCACGGTAAGCCTTGTAATAATAATAATAATACTCCCAGGTTACATAAACCAAGCTATGATACTTTTATTTTTACTTAATCAATGATTTTATAGTATAGAATTGAGCAGAAAATAGGTTTAATATAATATTTCAAAGGAAAGTAATATTATAAGATAAAATATAAACAGTTAAAAATCTTATAAACAAAAGCTGTGTTTGTTTATGTTTAGTTAAAGATGTTTCAGCTGATCGATGTATATTTAAAGGGTCGAGCTTTGACATGTTGAAGGAGGTAACGAGAGTCCGACTTCATAACATAAGTGATGAACAATTGTTGAACTTTTACAAATTTCCTCAATGTAAAATTTTAAAGCCATGCGAGGAATTAAACACCTATTTACTTTACTTACCTATACTTCCTCTTCACCACTGATTGGCTCGTTAGCCGCTTGGGCAGTCGGGCACTGACTTTTCGGGAAAGTAGATAACCAACTTTCCCGGAAAGTAGATATTTCCCATTTTTTATGATACAAATTTCCCGTTTTCTATGATAATCTACTTGGCAAAATTAGGTAATATTTCCCCCAAAATTCGAAAATCTACTTCCCCGAAAAGTCGATAATCTACTTTCCCGAAAAGTAGAAAATCTATCTACTTTTCGGGAAAGTAGATAACCAACTTTCCCGGAAAGTAGATATTTCCCATTTTTTATGATACAAATTTCCCGTTTTCTATGATAATCTACTTGGCAAAATTAGGTAATATTTCCCCCAAAATTCGAAAATCTACTTCCCCGAAAAGTCGATAATCTACTTGCCCTAAAAGTAGATACTCTCCTGTATATACTGTATGTGTATGTTTGTTACGACCCTTGGCCTCTTGGGGTTTAACAAAATCACAAATTCAACTTCTCTTTGTATTACAGGTCCGAGGAATAGATCCCACCAAAATCATCACCTCATTACTATGGGGTATATTGAAATACATGCAGTAGTTTTAATTACAGAATATATTAACAAACAAACAATGGAACAAATATATCAGTATGTACAAAAATAAACAAATACAAGTTAAATCTGATCAAATAAATGACTCAACCGAGTGACAAAATAATGAACATAAAATAAAGACTTATTTAGTCGAGAAACTACGATGAACAACGTGGTTTATCCACCACACGTTTCTGCTAGTGTGTATATATGTATATAACGGAGCTACTGTAATATGTGGTCTAACAGAGCTGGTGCTACTGTAATATGTGGTGGTGATGTAGCCTTCTGTCATCTGGTGTTGGTGGTGATGTAGCCATCTGTTATCTGCTGTTGGTGGTGATGTAGCCTTCTGTCATCTGGTGTTGGTGGTGATGTAGCCTTCTGTCATCTGGTGTTGGTGGTGATGTAGCCATCTGTTATCTGCTGTTGGTGGTGATGTAGCCTTCTGTCATCTGTGTCGGTGGTGATGTAGCCTCTGTCATCTGGTCGGTGGTGATGTCGTGTCATCTGGTGTGTGTAGCCTCGTCACTGTCGGTGGTGATGTAGCCGTTTGTCATCTGGTGTTGGTGGTGATGTAGCCTTCTGTCATCTGGTGTTGGTGGTGGTGTAGCCGTTTGTCATCTGGTGTCGGTGGTGGTGTAGCCTCAGTCAAGTGATGTTGGTGGTGATGTAGCCTTCTGTCATCTGGTGGTGGTGGTGATGTAGCCTCAGTCATCTGGTGGTGGTGGTGGTGATGTAGCTTCTGTCATCAGTCTGTCCCTTGTTCTTCACTTCTGTAAGGTTAGATGATATTAATAGTTATATAGATTTAATGATAAGTACAGTCACAGACTTACTAATTGGCAAAGCCATCAGATACTTATTTATAGTAGGGTCCTTTGCTGAGGCTCGGTTCCTAATCAGTAATAGTATGTCTACAGGAGAAATAGCGAAAGTTTTCTGATAAATTTAACAAGCATTACATTGCACTTTGACTAACTGAGGTTGGCAGATCACTTCAACAATATACTATTTTGTGGTTAATATAGAAACAGCTTCATCTGTTATGGTTTTGAAGTAGTTTGGAAACTTGTTTCAGTCTTTTATAGCTGTGAAGAAGAAAGTGTTTTTTGCTAGACTGCAAACACCAGGTACAGTACAGTACTGAATATCAAAAAATTATGTTCCCTCCCTCTAGTGCCGTGCCGGTTCATATCCCTAATCCTTACAAAATTTTGTGTTAAATAGTCTGGCCACAGTCTGTTGAATATTCTATAAGAGTGATTCAGACTCAGTTGCTTCACTCTATCTGTCACACTTAGCATTTTCAGTGATTGTGAGACTCTGAGAGCAATGTGATCTCTTGCATTCATGTCAAGAGTAAACCTCGCTGCCTTGTTTTAAATAAATTTTAATTTGGCTTTTAGCTTCTGTGTTAAGGCAGAGTGTAATGAGTGCTGCATCATCCTACGGTAGTACATCCCAGCGTAGCTTACCCGCCCCTTTGGCGTCATGGCCGTACAAAGTTGCCAAGTAATATTTTTTATATATATTAAATGTGACAACAACAAAGCTACCATCTCTTTAAATTTATTGATGAGAGTTCGCAGACAAATATTTTGTTATCATATCAAAGAACCATGATAATGATCTTTATTTTGGATAGGTAGTGTGTGATTGGTAAGGAAGAGGTGGAGAAGTATCTGAAGCCGAGTCACTAGAGTGACGTGTCTATTCTACAGTAGTGACGCTTGATTCATCTCATGCTCTCAGCAGCCAGCCTCACGATAGGGAGGGTGTGCTATCTCTGCGCCAGGTTATATCATCTCTCGTACCTGCCCCAAATCTGCAGATTTTCAACAATGGCACCCAGTGCCCCATCAGTAACACTCAACAATGGGCAGACGATGCCAATTATAGGTCTTGGCACTTGGAAGGTATGTTAAGAGACAGTGTAGGTACAACTGGATGGGGTCTGCCCATATCTTCAACAACGCGCTTCGTCACCACCATTTTTAAATCGTTTCGTAACCCCGTTCATTTCCATTATTATATACACGAAAATAACTGTTGCTTGGGATATAAAATAATAAAAAACATCAAGACATTGTTAATGCGCCTGCCAATCATCTCACTGCTCGGCGGTTTACGCCCTGATGCTAAATCACCTTCATTTGTTCTGCATTTTGTTTATTTACCAATGTTGAATAGTTTTCTTAATTGAATAATTAATATCCATGTATAGTAATAACACATAATTCTTCATTTGTTCTGTATTTTGTTTATTTACAAATGTTTTAATAGTTTTCTTTATTAAATAATTAATATTCCTGTATAATAATAACACAATACTTCTCGAGTCGTCTATATGCATGTGTAATTTCTATTCGTGTAAAATAATAACTTACAATTTGTCACTAATACCAGCGACTGTTAGCGATGACGAAACGGAATTGATATTGGTGACGAGTTGGGGTTTTGGTGACGAACCGGGTCGGTGACGATGTGTTTTGGCAACGAAATGGGGTGTATCCTATTATATACACGTGTACAGTACACTGCTTGTTAGTCAATACTGTGAAACGAAACTTTATTATCACTCAAGCATGGTTTTAATATATTCTTATTGTTTATGATCCTTATGGGGAGCAATCAGTGTACTGAGTGTTAATGTTTGGGACCTGAAGTGCGACAACAAACTACTGTACGGTACAGTATACAAAAAGAGAGACCATGTTATTATGACGATGGTTATAGAGTACTGTACTGTACAGTGTTGTACGTGAGAAGAATGAGTGAGAGCAGCTACTGGTAACTGCTTCCATATAATATCGTGCAGGAGAGCAAAGCATATCCTGGAGACCAGTGTTAATGGACAAATAAATGAACCTAAATGACATTATATTTATTCTGGCTAATATGGGGGACTTCACAGCCGACCTGGCAAAAAAAAAGCTTAAATCACATACCTTTGTCCCGCTACAAGTCTAAATTGTTTGCTACTGTTTGCTGAATAGGTATCTATAAGCAAAAACAATGCCCAGATTAGGTTAGGTTAAATTCTTCGGTAACTATTCGGGAGTGACCATGCATGAAATTCTATATTGACTTGTATTTAGGGAGATAAAGCAAAAAAAATAAGAAAAAATAAGAATTCAGACTCTATTGCATTTTCATCGAAATTTATATTTTATTTATAAAATTTTTACTTTCGATTTCACGTAAAAGATGCAATCTTGATCTTACAAAGTGGGCAGAGCTTTGAAGTACAGGGAAATTGTTGAGTAAAAACATGCAAAAATATTTGTGACAGCACCAAGTGTGAGCTCATTCAAGGAGCAGGATCCAGTTTATGACCAATACAATGCTTACCAACAAAGACGTGACTGACCATCCAAGTGGCAAACGAGCTGATCAGTGGCGAAGAGGATAGAAGTATATATCGGAATACACATGTTTAACTTAACCTAACCAGAAGGACCTAATCTATCCGCCTTTCCTGAAATCGAAAATTAAAAAAAAAAATTAACTTGAAAAATAAGCACATGCACGCAATTATCACGTGACATTGAAACTTATGGTGATTGTCTGAGTAAGATGTACACTACATGTGTGTAAGGTAAACCAAGAGATGCTGGGACTGGGCTACACACCTTTCCTCCTGGCCAGTTAATTTGCTCCCTCTTTGACCATGCCATTCTGCGTTGCTGGTTGTCTATGCTGCGTTGCTCATACGACCTTATACAGCCACTGCCACCGTTCTCCCTCTCCCACTGCCCAACACAGTAAGGATGGATTTACAGTATTGTACTATGTTTTTACAATGGGACTTTGACCATGCAATACAGGTGTACTGTACTGTATATCCACCCAAAGGCAGCAAAAACTTGCATTTCAGGCCTCGGACAATCTGTTGGTACAGTATATGAATCCCAATTTTCAAGGGTTGATTGATACAACATTATGCAGCAAAGTGCCTCATTGCTGTAATAAATCTTAATCTGCACTTACATAAACTACCAATCCACCATATACTTACACCTGTTCTCCAGTACCCTGAATGTCATACTGAGATTGTATGCAAATGTGATCACTCTTCCCAATAGAGCCTTTAGTTTGTAATATTTCTATTATTTTTTGTCATTGCAAAACAACAAGTCCAGATTACTTCATTTGTCCCGTGCCCCTAAATCTGGTACACATTAATATCTGCGATGTACTGAGATAGGTAACAGTCTATTTTTCTCCATAAATTTATGGTCCATATTTTTAACCCCAGTATTTGTTGTACAATTTCTCCAATTTATATTTGGAAGATTTTTGTTCCCAAGTATTACTTTATATTCCATGTTCATATCAAATTTCCTGTAATAACGGAGGTAATTTCTTGTTGCCTGTATCACTATACTGTATTAGGGCTTCATTTATATGGAGGAAATATGTATCAATTGTATCATAGGTTCTATTCAGCTCAATGCATATACAGGTACAGTAGCTAAAACAACTATCTGTGCAGGTGGGGTCGATATGCTCCGACTAGTGACAGCCCTCCTATACCAAAATTTATTGTCCATGGTCTCATATTGTTTCCCACAAAGTATGTACAGATAGTTGTTTTAGCTACTGTATAGTTATAGTACTTATTGCAGTACTGTAATATATTGCTTAAAAGAAAAAATGCTTACTGCACAGTAGCCAAAAGAACTATCTGTGCATACTTTGTGGGAAACAATATGAAACCATGGATGATAAATATTGGTATATGAGGGCTGTCAAAAGCCACACGTAAAATTTCAGAGCATATCGACCCCCACCTGCACAGATAATTGTTTTAGCTACTGTACCTCTCATCTTGTTTAATTACAGACAAATTTCATCATTGCTCCAATTATTTACAAGATCCTTATCAACCATATGTAACAGATGAAGAGAAAAGTTTGGCAGATTGTAGGATTGATCATGATGGGATTCCTTTTATATGTACAGTACATATGTTTGAATTTTCAAATGAGCAAATTAATGCTTCATTGACTAATAGGGAAGGTGAGCAGCTGCCCATCTCTTACATACAGCATTGTTACTCATGTGTGACATTGACAGATAAAAATTGCTAACAACATGAGTACAGGTATTGAGGTTAATTTGAGGATCTTGTAATTGGTTTGGAATGTAGCCTTTCTATAATTCAAGAGGACCTCTATAAAATGTTGAACTATACGAATTTATTAAGATTTTTACCATGGCATGTATATCATTCTTAACCTCAGAGAGTTTTTATATTTGTTTTTTTTATCATATTTGCCACTTATCAGCTTACTAGCCATTTGGGTGGTCTATCCAGTGTTAGTACAGGAGGAAACCGGGGACCGGGAAACCTGTGGTGTTTGGTAGGGCCACACTGGATAACACCCTTCTCACATGTGTCCGGGACGAGGCTCAAACCCTTGACATATTGGTGAGAGTTATGCACGTTACCACTGTGCCACTTTTGAATATTTTTTTGGTTGGGTATTCAGTTCAGTATACCTGTAGGTTATACTTAAGAGTCTCCCTAACTCATCCTTAGTGATAAGGCTCCACTCCATGAATGGTGTAATTGTCATCCTTACAAAGCATTTGTAGACACAGATTAGATAACAACAGATTACATTGTTCTCGATGGGAAGTTTAAACGACATACTCAATCTTCCCACAAACCCAAATCAGGCTAGTGTAATCTGATGTGGGTGGACCTGAATTACACAAAGATGAGGTTAAATAGTAAACTGAATGATTAAAGACCTTGCAGATGAATGCAGTGTTACTGTGAATTTCATGGTTTTATTTTATTTATTTTTGATAGATTTTTACAAAAACCTCCATTGTAATGCATATAATCCAAATCTAGTGGAGGAATGAGGAAAACCTATTTATATTTACACTACTGTACTTACAAAAAAGGTAAGAAGGTTAAGGCTCCCATTCTTTCTATAAAAAGTATAACCCAATAGATTATTTTTATTTTTTTATTTTTATTTATTTTTTTTAATTCACAAGGAGTGGATTGATTGTGGTAATTTACTGTACATCCCGTTGCATCGCCAGTGATGTAAATTACTACAAACAATCCACTCCTTGTGAATTGGAAAAAACCATTAGTAATCTATGGGGATAAACCTTTTATGGAAGTAGCTACCAGTAGATGGCAAGTACTGTACCTACCAAATTTAACCTAACAATCTTAGAATATAATAGGTGTGGATTTCATTGCTTCATAGTACGGTATATATTTTCAAATACAGTACTTGTGCATGGTTTAACCCATAGCTTGCAACTTGGTTATAAATGGATAAGATAACATGCATCATATGAATATATATAACACAAAGTTTTCGTATGTGCTGTACCTGCGTGAGGTCCTCTTAGTTTGCTACACCCCAGATGTTACATCATCATCACTGTTTTATAGCTATTTTCCACACTTGTGGAGGTTAGCCCTGATCAGCTGATGGCGTGGTGCACCAGTTGCCACCTGACAAAATTTAAAGCAAGTTTTAGAAGGTAGATGTTCATCCTATTACCAACTACCTTTTCATAGTGTAAACTGGGCATTATATGCTGTATAGGACTTGCTCTCTCTCTCATAACCCAGTTCAAAGCATGAATACAGTACATTATATGTAGTAGTCTGTTATTACTTATGATGTGAATACAAAAGCAGATTCCCTAGACATTAACTGTAGCTGTAACTGCCACAGATTTTAATATACCTGTATAGTAATATCTCTGATAGCCAGAATCCCTCAAACCCGGAACTCTCTGATCGCCGGAATTGAAATTTTCTCACAAAATCATTCCCAAAGCCGGAATTTTCCGGAAAGTTCTGGCTTTGGGGAATGATTTTCTGAGAGGCACATTTTTCCGGAAAATTCAGAGAAATTTTTCCAAATACCCAGAAAATTCCAGGGATGGGGAATACTTTTCCGGGTTCGAGAGATGATGTAATGGGTAATTTCTGGAACTTCGGAGAACATTTTTCCGTTACCCGGAAAATTCTGGGGATGAGGGATATTTTTTCGGGTTCGAGAGAGTCATCTCGTTACCCGGAAATCTCTCATTCCCGGAAGTGTTCTGCACCAATTGTTCCAGCTAATGGAGATACCACTGTACTGTATCTGCACTAGCACTATTTTATTTTTAAGTACAGTACATAATGTACAGAACTTTTCAAGCTGTTGGCATATTCAGGGTATAAAAATTCGGTGTAGTACTGTACAAACTGTACTGTACTGTGTACACTATTCTCTGTTTTTATTAGAGCTCTTCTATAATATTGTTTGCCCCTGAATTTTAATCATATAGTTTTGTGGACTTGTATTTATCGTAAATTCTCTATTACATTCAACAGTCAAAGCCTGGTGAGGTAACACAAGCTGTCAAGGATGCCATTGCCTGTGGATATCGTCATATAGATGGTGCTCTTGTTTATGGCAATGAATGTGAAGTCGGTGCTGCTATTAAGGCGAAGATTGAGGATGGGACCGTGAAACGGGAAGACCTTTTCATTACTAGTAAGGTATGATGATGCATTGCAAAAGAATTTTTTTTGAAAATTTTCATGCATCCAAAGTACAGTGAGGAAACTGGATAGGTAATACAGTAAAAGTACCTTTTTGTAATAGGTATTACTATAGGTACAGTATTACTTAAAATGTAACTGTTTAATTGAATTGATTGGTTTAAAAATATGACAAGAATATGTTATAGTAGCCTCTGTCAAAAGTGTTTTTGTCTGGCTTAAGTGCTGTACAGCATAGCAGGAAAAGTAAAGGTTGAAAACTCAAGTGTTCCCAGGATCCCTGGCATTGTTGACAAGAAATAATTTTCATCATGTTGTAATAAGGAAGATGTGCATCACCATCTCTCTCTTTCTTTAAAAGAGCAGCAGTGGCTCTTTCCAGCTTTGCTGTTGAATGGATTCTTAATATAGATTTTAATTACAGCTGTGGAACACCTTCCATAGCAAAAGCTTGGTGATACCTTCACTGAAGGAGTCGTTAAGCAATTTGGGGCTTGATTACCTGGACCTGTACCTCATCCACTGGCCATTGGGCTACAAGGTATGTCCTCAAGAAATGAGGTACAGTATTGTGCTTTAATAAACAATACAGACCAGGTGGATTCTGGCGTAAATTGCTAGAATTAGCTTGATGCACCCGTACGTTACCATTATCAAAACAAATGACATTTTACTATTAAAATTTTCACACTTGTTTTTCCCTTTTAATGACTTTTTATTCAATTTATGAAAAAACTTATGATAATTAATAGTTTATGGTAATTAGATTTACTTTTGTCAGGGTAGCTATCCAGTAGTCATTGTTTTGAAATGTAATATCTAATGATAGAATCTATGTACTGTAAATGTATTAAAAATGTATACCGTAGGTACTGCATATTTATTAATTTAAAAAGTACGTTAATTATTTTGGCACTTAATGTTCACGAGCCAAGGAGTAAAATTAATTAACAGTGGGTATTAATTGAACAATTAGTAAGGTGATGATAAAGTTCACCTATAGGATATTGATTTATTAAGTTCTTAATTGTTACCCTGTACATTACTGTATCCCTTATTTTATTGTAAATTGGAGTATTCATGCCTTGGCATTATGTAGTGGGATGAGCCTCCAGGTACAGTTACCCGGTACGCGGCTCAGGGATTTTACCATGTTTTAATGAGCTCTGTGTTTGGACAGGTCTTGACAATTATCTCCACTGTTCTAGTTTGCTTTCCACACATTGCTAAAAGTAATAAGATAGACTTGAATTAAAATATCCTGGAATATTACTGAGATGGGTTGTCTTTACACTAGTGTTGAATTTACAATTCCCTTGGTAAATTAGTAATGGTCTTGCTAGCATTGATAAGGGAGGCGAGATTAGTTGCTAAAGAGAATGTGTTTGTTATTTATTGTGTGAGTAGACATAAATCTAGTAAAAAATTATCAACTGTTTCATATTTAGTTTCAGTAAAACTTGGTGAAAATGTTCATATTTGCTAGGTTCAGAGTTCAGTGATGTTTTGTATGGCAAGAAAAAATCACAGTAACTCTGATGTATAAAAACAGTGTACTGTACAATATATCTTATTTTATTTTGGATTAACGTCCCAACGTCATTAAAACATAAACAGTAGCCAGGAATGTTTTACTATAGGATCATCTAACCTCCAGTAATCTTTATCACACATTAAAACATCAGGAGAATGCTGAACTTTTCCCCAAGAATGAAGATGGAGAGATTTTGTATTCTGATGTTGATTACCTGGAAACCTGGGCAGCTGTTGAGGAGGCTGTGGACAAAGGTCTTGTCAGGAGCATTGGTGTATCCAATTTTAACAAAGATCAAGTTCAGAGGATTTTAAACAATTGCCGCATCAAGCCTGCAGTTAACCAGGTAAAGCAAATGGATCAAGTTAAATATAGGTGTGGTGGCTGTGGTCTTTTATAATGTTAATTTTTTCTTTCAGCTACAGAAAACCATACCATGAGATATTTTTAATGCACTTAACAAATGTGCAGAATTTCAGAATTGACTACTGAAAAGCTTCAGTGTGTTGACATGGAGCCTTATTTGCCTATTTTTTTAATATACAGTAAGTCCTCGTTTAACTTTGCCCCTGACAAAGTTGTTTCGTTATAATGTCGCTACTCTTTAGATACCCATGATTCGGACAACGTCCCGCCAATTCGGTATAATGTCATCACGGACTACTTGTACGGAGCATCACCCTCTCTCATCTTGGCGCGCTACGCTCTCTCGCTGAGTGCCACAGCGTCCCCAGTCTTCGTTAGGCTTCCACACAGAGTTGCCAACTTAGCGACTTTGTAGCTAGATCTAGAGCTTTTTGTTTTTTTCTAGCGACATTTTAGAGCGATTTGCGACTTGTCGCAAATCTAGAGATATCCACAGAAATCTAGCGACTTTCTGGATACTTTTGGACTGTCCATGAAAACTCGGTTTTCCTAATTTCGAGCCATAATATATAGCAACAGGGTTACAGGGACAATGCATTTGAATGGGTTGAACTCATAAAACAACTTCATCAACGCTTACCTGACAACATTCGTGTGCTGTAGTCTATTTCTTTTCTGAGTGCCGATGAATGCTTGAAGCCTATTAAATCAGATATACTTGGTTTGGCACACTTATTTACAGAAGATTCCAGCACCCTTACCAAGATTGATTTCCAGTGGAAAAAACTGCATCACACAATCTGGACAGAAACATCTAACACCCTAAAATTGTGGTCAGAAGTGGCAAATTACAGAGATGCGACAGGTGAAAACCCTTACCATGATCTGGCTGAAATTGCACTCGCTGCCTTATCTCTTCCGCATTCAAAAGCAGATGTAGTGCGCATATTTAGTAATATGAACTTTGTGAAATCAAAATTGCGCAACAAAATGAAACTATCGACATTAAAGACAATTCTTACAATAAAGTATGGGTTAAAAAGACAGAACACCTGTTGTGCAAGTTATGAACTTCCTAGTGATATTTTAAGAAAGATAGGGACTGTGGAGGCTCTACAGCTCTACAGTTGTTTACACTGCCGACGACTACGAAGAGGACTGGGATGCAATTACTATTGAATAATAGGTAAGTGTGCACATTAAACTTTAAAAAAATAATATTTTTATTTTTACATAATGCATTTTATTTATACTCCGTCCATTATAGTCGGCATTATGAAAATATAATTTGCATCAAATTCCTGAAGGGGGGGAATAATAGCTAGCGACTTTTCATGGAAGATTTAGCGACATTTAGCTACTTTTAGGTACCAGCCTAGCGACATTTGAAAATCCGAGTTGGCAACCCTGCTTCCACAGTGTTCGTGCGTGTTTCAATGTTTTTGCTCTAAATACTGTACTCGAACCATTCGAAATGGCTTCCAAGCACCCATCAAGTGCTGCTGATGCTAGTGTTGTGAAGAAGCAACGTAAGACCATTAGCCTTGCTACGAAAATGGAGGTTTTAAACCATTGAATTTAAGTGTATGTAATGTATTTTATGGGGCAAAGGGAGGCTGGGGAATGTAACTCCCATATTTTATCTATTTCTTATGGGAAAAATTGATTCCGTTAACGTCTCGATTTTCAGGAACAGAACCGCTACGTTAAGCGAGGACTTACTGTATGTACAGTATACAGTACAATATACTGTATACCAGACTTGGGCAACATTTCCTCAGTCATGGGCCACATTATGATTTAGGTATTTTTCTGCAGGCCTAGCAACCAAATTATATATCCTACCTAACCCAAAAGTAATGTTAATACAGTATTGTATTAGCAAGAACAGTGAAGCAGTTTATCGTCACATTCACCTGACAATATTTTCAGTTTACAATCGCGGTCTTTTTCCCATTTATGAAACAAATCGATCATAATAATTTTTAAAGTACATATGTTAATGTTTCTTGACATTTAACAGATGAGTGAAGCATTCTGTGAATACTGTACATTGAATTTTCCTACAGTTACATCATTTTTCTTACTTATGAAACACACCCACGAGAATAATGCCAATGTTAATCTTGGCATATGAGGAACTACAATGAAACAACCTATTGGCACATATCTCTCTCTCTCTCATATATATATATATATATATATATATATATATATATATATATATATATATATATATATATATATATATATATATATATATATATATATATATATATATATATATATATATATATATATATATACAGTAGTACCCCGCTTAACGGTCAATTGAACCCACAGGGTACCGCGTTAAGTGAAAACCGCGTTAAGTGAACAACAGAACATATGGGATTAATTCAATAGAGACTGGCCCGACCCCCAAACTCCACTTTTTGACGACACACAACTATGTTGTAGTAAAAATTTTATCTTAACTTTATGATGGTATGCACACACAATTAATAATTAAGAGAAATATCAATAATATTAGGTTTTTTAACACTTGCATTAGTAGAAAAGATGGCTGGGCACACGGGGATGGGGGGTTGGTTCCGAGGCAGAGGGCAGATTATTGGCCCTCACCTGTATCACTTGTATCAATTGTATCACTATCCACCACAGAGGCTTGCAGGGCCTCTTTGTCAAACCCCTCAAAGGCCATATAAGTCCATATCCTCACTATAATTATCACTATCACTGACTTGGGCCGGCTGTGGTGGGTGGCGGGTGAAGAACTCGGTAATGTTTTGATGACTGGCGACCTTGTGCGCATCGTGCCCGCGCCGCTTCCCGCGTATATGATGAAAAATTCCGCGTTAAGTGAAAGTTCAGCTCTGGCGAGGCACCGCGTATATGATAAAACGCGTTAAGTGAAACCGCGTTAGGCGGGGTAATACTGTGTGTATATATATATATATATATATATATATATATATATATATATATATATATATATATATATATATATATATATATATATATATATATATATATATATATATATATATATATATATATATATATATATATATATATATATATATATATATATGACTGTATTCTTAAAAACATAAATGATGCGGTATCCTTAAATGCGCACGTACAGTATGTGTTGGCGTTCCCAATCAATCTCGCTGGTTTTTTCTTTACCATTAGTGGTTAGCTACTTCTATTGTTCCATTTATTAACATTAAATAACATTACATAAAACATATATATTCATTTTTTTACATTAATTTTACTACAGCTACAACCAAGGTCTTATTTTCTCATGTAGAACTATCGTCCCGGACTCCCGGGACACAAATGAAAACAATGGCGTCCCACCCCCTCTTGTGTGGCAATATTATTATTGCTTTATTTTAATGGTAATTAATGTTTCGAGATACAATGATTCACCTTACACTGTAATATTGGAGGACTCGTTACCATCGTTATTCGAGGCTTTACTGTACTGTTCTTCATATGTTACAATATGGATCTCATGCACCCTTGCTTTAATTGATAAATATAATTGTATAGTTTACTTTTCTTTGTGAGCATGTGTCTCTCTCTGTGTTTGAAAGAAACTATCATACCTTTTATTTTCAGGTTGAGTGCCATCCCTACTTGAACCAGACAAAGTTGATTGAATACAGCAAGTCCAAAAACATTTATATCACTGCTTACAGTCCTCTAGGATCTCCTGACAGGTGGAAGTTTAATTCTTTATAATTATGAGTTTTAGAATACACACTGCAACTAGTATTATATAATTCAGTTAGTACTGGTCTTCATAATGCTTCCAATCTCTTGTGTTCAACATGACATAAAGTGGGATCTTATGCTAAGTTAGGAAAGATACTCAGTAAGAAACATGGTTTTCCTCATAAATTGAATAAGGTGAGAGAGGCACTAGAAGATTAGGCATCCAGGAAACAGCTATTGTATAATTATGTGTTCATGTCTGTCAGGCTTGGTGTACATACAGGAGTTTATTGGGAAGAACACAAGTACTGTACTCTTAGGGTGATTTATTAAGTAATTCGAGTCGACCATATGAATTTCTTAGGGCCTTGCTGAGCAGAACATTTGGTGAGGCACCTACAAAGTGGAAATGACAGCATGTAAAGAGTGTGTATGTTTCTTGTGATTTCAATGACCACGTGTTGCCACAGAAAATGGCTTACAGGGTTGAAAAAAAAACATTCCAACAATAACCAGACTTCAACATAATTTGAATTTACAATATAGTCCCCTTCACTAATGCATTTACAGGGGCTCATCTTATAAACATTCCACAAATCATTATCTTTGAGATATTTATTTTAATATTGTTTTAATTTGATTCCATAGTATGTTTACTTTTGCGAGTTTCCTTCTATTGAATGTGAACAAACACAGGGCTGCCACACCGCACAAAGCCTGATGAGCCACTGTAAATATACTTGTGAAGAGAACTGTACATTCGCCCACAAAAGTCCTGTCACCTTGCCTACTGTTCCACGAATCCCAAGATTTAGACTTTTGAACCCAAAGCAGTAGACACTTCAGGGTCGGATCCAGAAATATCAAAAGGGGTGGTTCCAAGAAGTTGTGGGTGGGGGAACATGGCGAGCACAGTGAGCCCACCCAGCGGTGGGGTGCTGTAAGCCCCCCAGAGAATTTTTTTTAAATCTGACCAGTACAGTATCATGGGCATTTTGAGGCCATTTTGAAGCTATGCACACTTGATATTAGGAGATATTCCGAAGTTAATAGCAAATACTTTTTACTATACAAAAATACTGCATTAAAGAAAAAGTATTGGAATTTTCTTGTGAAAAGGGGGGATCTGGACCCCCAGGATCTGCCCTTGTACCTAGGCATTTTTCTGTCCGTAAATACTTCAGATTAACAAATCTGAATCTCAGGGTTCATGAGGAGAAGTGACTGCACTTTATAAAAAATTATGATATTGTGAATTCTGCATTTACAGATGGTAGAAGTTGTCTCGGTCTCGGGAGTGTATTTTAGTTCACTATGTTTTTGTTTTGTCTTTAATATCATGTATTTACTTACTGTACTTATTTTAGGCCTTGGGCCAAACCAGATGACCCTTTGCTGATGGATGATCCTAAGGTTGTGGCCTTAGCTGACAAGTACAAGAAAACATCTGCCCAAATTCTTATTCGCTATCAGGTAAGACTTTATAGCTACCAGGTATGTATCATAAGTTGGATAAATGTGTCAAGTACTGTATCTTTAGCTGTACTTTAATATACATTAGAATAAACTATGTATTATATTAAACTAGTTCATTATAGTTTAGCTTCATATGTCAGAGCTACATTTCCAGAGCACATAGCTCAAAGAATGATTTTAAATACCCTATAAAAGTTTGTATACACTTAAGTAAGATGAACAGGATGCTCTGTAATTTTAATATAATTTCTTTAAATATATGTGTTTATTGTAGAGTTTAGATTATTATTTTATTCTGCCATCCAAGTAACATTTCCTAAACTTATAAAATAATGAGAATGCGCACTTTATTATCTAAAAAAAATGGACTAAGCATTTTTGTGGGCAAGACAGGATAAGGGAGAGTACCCGGTATGCACTTAGTTCACCTTGTTAGGGACAAAGTTGCCCATAGGGATACAAAGAAGCTTTTTGATAATGAGATCAGAAAGTAAAGGTAATACTGTATACAGTACAGTACTCTCTTCACAAGATATTTGGAATATTGTACTTTTGTTCGATGTGTTACAAAAAGGCAGATATTGGCCAGGTATGATCCACAACTGGGATTATTTTTTAAAGATTTTTCATATTACTGTGCTGCTGGAAATAAAGGGAAGGGCAATGTAATATTTTATAAATTTTGCATACTGTATCTCCTTCATGGAATCTTGAAAACAATAAACAGATGCTCAATATTTCCTACCAAATTTGCAGCTTTAATTTAGGGATTTTAATTTCAGATCCAACGTGATGTCATTGTCATCCCGAAGTCTGTCACAAAGTCCAGGATTGAGTCCAACTTTCAGGTATGTTTTGATACTAATTATTGTTTTTTGGGGGAAATAATTTCACATTGTTGTGCAGTGGCCATTATTGATTAACATAATTGTACAGGGTGTCCACAATGTTATGCTCCAGTTTTGAATTTTATTAAAAAAAAAAAAAAACAGGAGAGAGAAAATAGTTTAGGATTATCCGCTTAGTGAAATTTCTTCAGGTTTGTAAAATAGTGGGATGTATCTCTTTCTTTAATCTTGTTCTAGGTAAGTTAAAACCTATGGAGTTATAAATGCATGGATCATTGATATACAGTACTGTATTGTGCTTTTATGCTACATGCAGACACATATAGCATTAGAGAATCCTGCTCGGCCTTCATAGAAGCCTGAGTGCTTTGCAGTGTTATGGGGAGACTTGGACACTGGTAAAGCCTTGATGTCTACCAAAATAGCTACCGGCTCTTGCCTGAAATAAATTAGCACATTAATGTTGTAAACTAATGCAAAAAGTTAAGAACTGTATTTAATCAAAATTATGAGTGCATGGTGTTCTCTATGCAGTACCCACATTATTGAGTAAAATAAATATTTTCTCAGCACATTTAATTGAAAATGCAGTACTGCAGGGGTCCCGAGCCTGTTGCTTGCAAGCACCACTGTGCTCCCTGATAGACTCGCAGTGCTCTTCTACAGTGCTTAAAATCATTCTCACGAGCACCAATTTTAAGTTTAGAACCTTAGAACATTATATTATAACTCGTCACTGATTCCAGTGTACCTGTTAATGTACTGTCCGGGTACAAGATCTGTAAATTTATTTAAGAATGTTTTGTGAAAAGAATTACATTCTTAAGTTTTTAAATTTAGTGCATTAAAAGACGTTTGAAAGAATGTTGTTACATGTAATAAATGTACTGTACAGTATATATGAGTTGTTTCAATTTTGTTTGTGAAGCTTTTGTTAAAGGAATTGAAATCTTAATTTTTTTAGGGCATTGCCACAGATCTGAAAGAATTTGGACAGGTTTTATTATTCCTTATTTTTGCAAATATGCAATGGTGCTCCTTTGGCTATCTAAAACTAAGCTGGGTGCTCATCAGATTAAAGGAGTTGGGAACCCCTGCGTTAGGCATACCGTTTCAGCTAAAATCATGATTTAAGGGATTCTGTTGAAAATCTCACTACTATAGGTACTGCTGGGCATCCCGATTCGGAATCTATGGTCTACGATTCGATTGCGGGGTAATTAATGGATGTAATGACGCTTGGAATATTTTAATGACATTGTTTCAATTACTTGCCAACTATGGGTTTCCGAGGTGTGATTTTGGTGTTACCCGTAATAGGTAAATGCTTAATTAGTTAACCCCTTAAATTTCAATTCTGAAAGAAAAGTATATTTTGGTTGAAAAACTTTTAAGGTACAGTATAAGGCTTACTTTTTTGGCGGTTTGGGCCCAAAATTAGATTTTGTTCAAAATATCAGTAAAGGAAATTTTAAACTGAAAGGTATTGGCTGACATTATTTAAGAGGAATCAGTTGAAAACCATTGTAATCAATAAGTAATATACAGTTCTATGAGGTTTTATGAATTATTGTTCATTCCTAAACAGGTATTTGACTTCAGTTTGTCAGATGAGGACATGAAGACCATTGACACCATTGATTGCAATGGGCGTGCTCTTCACCTCAACTGGTGAGTTTGTGTCAAGTGTTTTTGGAGACAGACATACAGTTCCTATATTTTTAACTACCGTGTTGAGTGGAGAGCATAACACTGAGTACTTTTTTAGTCATGGGTGTGCTGCTGATAGGTAATGCTAGGTTTATATAAACTGACAGGAAGAAATCAGAAAGACATCTGAGGGCTTTGTAAAAGGGAAGACCATAACAAAACACGTGAATGAAGAAAAAGCTTGTGTTATCTTGATTCAGGCCACCCTACAATATAGCTGGAAGGGATTTATAGAATTTAGAAAGTACAAGGTTTGTAAATATTTGAAGGAAGTTCTTGACAGGTCAGCTGAAGAATAGTGGCAGAAAAATTATTCTTCCTTGTAACCGAAAAACATGTTTGTAGATACTGAAGTGGTCCTAGAATATAATTTTTTATCAGAGTTGGTTTTATAAGAACAACTTATCTGACACTATAAAGGTATTCTTAGACAATCTTATATTTATTTATAAAGTAAATACTTGTACTGTACTTAATTGACATCTCTTCTTTTCAGGGTAAAGGATCACAAGGATTGGCCATTTAACACAGAGTTTTAGACCAAGTACTTCACCTCTATCACCTCTATTTATAAAATGTTATCATACTGTAAACTTAGGTGGTGTAGATAAAACAATGTATTAAAAAAAATCTAACTAGATTTGTGAAGTACAGTAATAAATTTCAGTGTCAAAGGTTTGTTTGGTGTTTTTTTTAGTACTGTAAGATCTTGTATTTCGTGAGTAATATAGACTGGAAAAATTGCGCCAAATTCAAATTCGCCAAATGCAAATTCATAAACTAATGGGAAAAATAACAATTTAGACTGGCCACTCTACATCAACCTCTGATTTTCCCATTTATAACCTCCAAATGATACAAATTCTACCTTCATTGACCTGATTGGGCTTTCTGTAAATTAGTTTTTAGGCCTTCCTCAAGTAACTTAATCACATGCTGCTTATCCTGCATCGAGTACTTGGCAAACTTAACTCCCTTATGATAGTCCTGCTTCTCTTTTTCCTTATTTGGCCACTAAGGTGGGTCTGTCCCACCCCCACCAGCAGGATCCCCAGTAGAGGTAGAGGCCATTATCTTGACTCGACAGGTGGTAGCACCACCCAAAAACGCACACAATAGCAGCCCGGGCGCTCGCTACAACGCGATAGTTGCATTCCTGTAAACCTTATTTACGTTCACCACCGGCAATTCGATCACAAGAGCACTTCTTGGAAACATTCTTCTTACCATATTCATCGCTAACACTACAAAATTAGAGAAAACAGCGAAAATCAAAGAGCAATCAACAAAAACCACGCTATTCAACTGATTACGTGATGTAAACAGAGAGCGCTGGTGTAAATCATTATTAGTCCTCACTGTGAAACATTCTTTTTACTTATTCTTTTCATACAGTACAGTATTTGTGGGTAACAGCTAAATTTGAAAAAAAAAAAAAAAAAACGAAAATTACAAAGTACCTCTCAAAAAACACTTCACAAACAAAAGACACGAATCAATTGAACATATGATGTCGAACTTGAACTTTAAACATTGCATAACCCCGTGCCAGGCTTAAAACGTTTAGGATGGAATCGCGCTATAGGCAACATTCGTATGCAAAAGTTCACGTTTTACAAACAGCGTTCCCCTATTCATCAATAGCGTTACAACCAATTCGTGTTGCCAAAACACGCGTTGTAGCAGAAATGACTAACTGGTATGAGGGCTGTGACGTCATTCAAGACGGTGGCCAGGATTCAGCTTGCTGGATATCGCGTTCAGCTGGATAGATCTCGCAAAATTCACGATATAAGACTTGGTTACATTAGGTAGTGCTCATGAAATTTAAAAATGCGAAATATGAGATCTTACTGTATTTTACCCTACATTTTCCTTCTACTTCTTTTATTGTGCAACCTACTTTTAACAAATAATATTGTGGGTAATTTTATCGGTAAAAATACTTGAAAAGTTTTTATTTCCGATGTAAATGCTATAGAATAAAAAAAATATTTCTTCCTATACCTGTGTAGGACTGAATATATAAGTAGTGCAGGGGAAAAGAAGTTACTGCTATCTTTTGTTTCTGCTGTTTTATTTTCTACTTCACCTTCTCTTTCTTAAGTTTCTTCCTTACTTTATTTAATTCCTTCTGTTAGTTATTTTAATTCTTATACAGATACAGTAATCTTTATCCTCTTAAACATGTGGTAGCATGGCGAGGCCTGGTGCACGCGAGTTCATTTGTATTTAATGATAATCAAGAAACAAAGGCAAATGCTGTAGGAAAATGATACCCCAACAACAATAAAGTTTTTTTTTTAAATGAAGTTGAATACCTGACACTTTACCAGAACATACACACATGAACCTCTCCTTGGGATTTCCTCTGACTTGGTCAAATTTACATTAAAACTATTACAAACTCCAAAGACCACTTGGCCTCACTTCCACGTCAGCCAAACAAGTATTCACGTCAACAAGACCAATGTTCAGTCAAACGTACTCTAGGTTACTGGTAACATTCTATGACTGACACACAACAAAGATTGGTCATCCGCACTTCAATTACATTACTAACACTTCATAGCACTCCTCAAATACCCATCACAAGATTGTTCATGTACAGTAATTATTATGATTCTCCACACTTGAGGATACAGGTCACTCTGACACACACAGTTATCATGACTCAGTAACACAACCTAATCTCTCGTCTCTTATTAATTTTGTACCTTTTTACAGTCTTTAAATCACAGGATACATCAGTATTCATTTACTAGGTGGAAGTCAGATAGATATCTGAGACACCAAGTACGGATACATATAAGATAGGTATCTATCTGACTTCCACCTAGTAAATGAATACCGATGTATCCTGTGATTTAAAGACTGTACAAAAGACAATGAGTAAATTACTGTACATGAACAATCTTGTGACGGGTGTTTGAGGAGTGCTATGAAGTACAGTACAGTATTAGTATAAGTAGTAATGTAATTTTAGTGTGGACGACCCAGGTAAGTAAAATGTAAAAAAGTTTAAGAGGATAAAGATTATCTGTATAAGTAAAATAACTGAGAAATAGATAACAGAAGGAATTAAATAAATAAAGAAAGAAATACTTTGAGAAGTTGAAATAGAAAATAAAACGGAAACCAGTAGGAATAAAAAGGAATAATGTAAATAAGAAAAGAAAAGCAAAAATAAGAGAAGTAAATCCCTCCCGTACAAAATGGTGACAATGAATTAAGTAAAGAAGTAAATCTACCCCCCTCCCCCCACCTAAAAACCCACTTGAATTAAATGGCTAACAATAATAATGATATGGGTCAATTGCGAGGGAAACATCATAGAAGTTTCTTAGAACTGTGTGAACTATTGATTGCCGAGATAAATTTCTCGAGATGCGGTTGGTGGTGTAGTGGATCCTCTCCCCTACAACTACAACTACCGTTTGTCACTGACTAGCCGACCCCTCTTCGAATTCCCCAGCCTACGCCTCGTGGTCTAAGGTCGGCAACCAGCGCCGCCTAACATAGCGGAGGTCGACTATCAAGCCACGCCTATCTCCGCTATATAAGACCTCACCTGGCCATGACCTGCCCTTCTTCTACCTACAGCCACCAGCAAGCAACACCTCCTCTGAGCACGCTCCCCAAAGAGCTCTCTCTACTCCACGCTTGTAACCATGCTGCCACTTCCCAGCACCAAGCTGCATTGTACATCCAATACAATATATATATATACAGAGAGCGCATTGTGAGTTTCCTTTCTCCAACCCATCCTGAGTGTGTACCAACATCTCGAAACCCCACAGTGGAAATAAAAATATTATTATTTACTACAGTATATGTATCGAATAATTATAATGTAGTTAATTCAGGACAAAGTTATATTAAAGAAATTAACCTTAGACGTAGAAATTTCAAAAAAAAAGTTCACATAATGGAACTTTAGACTTTTGCAAAATGAATTGTTATAAATTATTTGCAAAAATTAAAGAATAAATTAATTAAAGTACTAGGATCCGTAGTATATTGGTTTGGTTAGGATATGTTACACTAGGTAGGTAAGAGTTAGGTTAGATAAGGTTTGGTTAGTGTTAGGTTAGATAAGGTTTGGTTAGTGTTAGGTTAGATTAAATTAGGTTAGTTAAGATTAGGATGAGTTCGGTTAGGTCACAATAAATTAAGTTAATTTGGTTAGGTTGTGTTAGGTTCCACTCCAATTTCACAAGTGATGTGTTTCTATTCCATTATATCCATTTTTTAACCAAAGAAAAACTGGTGACCTTTGCTGTATCGAGATTATATGTTGAAAACAAAATGTGATCTAAAATAAAAACGTTTTCCCGTTAAAGAAACCATTTTCTTTGACGGATAAGACATGTCTTGTCATTTTCACGGGAAACTAAAAAAATTCCCAATGACTTGCAGTAAACTGAACCCACAGGCTGTGGAACCAGTTTTTAGTCATACTACAAAATTCTATTACAATATAAAATTGGAGAAGTAACTAACGCTTGACGCAGCCCTATAAATTTAATACCGTAATAGGCTACTTCATGCAAATACTGTGAGTATCTCGTGCCTAAGGAATAATATCATATGAAGGTACGTACATTAAAATTATAGACTATCTCAACCCCCACTACTCTTCCTCCTCATAGTTACGTTATTGATAGTTTCCATTACGTTAACTTCCACCTCGTGGTAATATTAATGCTGTTATAATCACTTAGGAGCACAACGACTATGGCTAAGTGAATTCGAAAAGTCAACATACAAGAAAGGATAGATCACCGGTGGAGAGGCAATACCATTAACATCAATTACTCTTGCTGCCATTAGTGAATTAACTGCAGTTTTTTGTTTTAGGTGCCGAGTGCCTCTACAAAAATAATGAAATATTATCTAGAAAAACCGAATTGGGAAATAAGTGAATAACACGGTACCAGTTACTTTAATTTTAGTTACACTCTTATAAATAATCCAAAGATTGCAATTGTTGAATATGCATTTGCAATAGCTTCAGTTCCTGTAGACCACAACTTAAGAGAGTGCATGTTACAGCTCCGTTAGCGCTCAGTTTGAGGCAGCCCGAGATGGCACGACCCTAGTTACTGTTAAGGCTCCATCGATTCACTCATTGCTTTACCTGCCATCCGCGCTGCACACACGAGTATCTGTTATTCCAGCTTTCTTTTACCACCTAACATTTTCCGTTTCAAAGCACAGTAACTTGGTAGGCAGATCAATGTGATGTTCTAATGTATTACAGTACTTCACTTTGGTAACCAAGGTCTTCAAGCACGAATTCTAAGTTAGTAATATTAATCAATATTAAAAATTACTAAGGATATATCGCAATTGCTGGAGCCCTAATCAGGGGATCTTAAGTTTGGGCTCCGTAGATGGAACAGTGTGACCAACTCCTAAGAACGAGGTTTGGTTAGATTCGATTCGATTTGGTGAGGGATTTTGAGACCGTCCAAAACGCGTTGTGGCTGCGTTCAAAAATTAAATACAAAAAAAGTAATAAAAATTAAAAATAAAAGACGCAAAATTTAGCTTTCTGGTTATTTTGTTATGTCCACAAGGTGTTGTGATCGTGTTTTTCGCTCAGGGCATGAAATGGGGAAATTACGGGGTAAAACACGGCGAAAAAAAAAATCACATGACAGCATTTCATCCAGTCTTTGTAAACATTTGCAAGTCACGACGGGACCTTACAACGGGGGTTTCATTACCATAAATATATTCTAAAAGTTGACATAACCAAACACTACTTTCCCAAGTTCGAGCCAAAAGTAGCCTCATTTCGTCATTCTGGCTCGGTGCTGAGTGATGTCACAACCACTGTCATCAACTTCTACTATACATGTACTTTTTTACTCCAAAATAATAAGACCTAAACAACACAAATACCTCTATGAAATTAAAATAATTTTGTATAACCGACCTCTTCCCTTCCCTGATTCCCACTGTTGACACAGGGTGATGACAGCAAATACGCAGGTCACTTACCTTCCTTATCGTGATAATCGTAGTCAAACCATTTAACCCCGCGAAGCTCCAACACCTGATCTCCTCACCTCTTGAGTTTCCTGGTAATTTGACCTGGTCCTGAGGGCTGCACATCCACTGCCTGGAGCGCAGAAATTCCACACTCGGAGACCAGTACCCAGACATACCCTCCACTCCCAGATGTCTTGCTGTACTCATTTTCTTCCCCATTGAATTCTCTGCCTGCCAATTCCACTGTCATGGCGGTCGCAGCTATTGTTCAAATGATGGACCTGTGTTGTTGTGATCCCGTCCGGTCTGGATCTTCAACTCTAGGACATTTCCTTACTTGTTATTTTTTTTAGTCATGCTCATGAACGAGTGTCACTAAGCGGTGCCAAATACACACAAGAAGGCTTAAGTTCAACTTGACTAGATTAGTGACTGCAATGATGAACCCGAGTTTAAAGACACTTGCAAGTGGTCGTTGTCGAGTTACGAGCGATTATGGCAATTTCGTTTAAACTTCCGTTGAAAGTTGAGAATTAATGAGATATTAGATACAGACACACAAAAAGATAAACGAGCCTAGATGTATAAAAGACAGAGTAATTAGAAAGCGTTGTGCAAAGAAAGATAAACAGCCCGTGTTTACCTTGTGGAAGCAAGTCCATGATCCCAACACTACTCGTACAGGCTGAATGTCACTCCGATCACGCCCCACTTGTTCCGTCCCCCTTAAAGTGTATTTACCGTCTCTGTATTACACACTATGAGGTATTAAACCTGTTTATACTGAACAGTTTTATTGGGACTCAGCTGCAGGCAAACGTACTTAAGCGTCTCATCAAGGCGACTTTAATGGTGGTCATTATTACAGAGACATAGCAATACTTCCCAGCACACCCAGTACGCTCCAAAAGCTTTAACAGCAAGTTATACGGTACGGTCTTCTTAAAATATTTTTTATATCCTATTAATGGCGGGTATGCTAACGTTAATTTTGTATTTAATTATCCCAGTTGCCAATAAAAAAAATGGAACTTTACGCGTTCATAAAGTGGAAGTCTGGAACAATGTAATAATATAAAGTTGAAGGTCAAACCAAGTAAACAGCCTTCGTGATAAATGTACAAACTTAAGAGACCAGTAGAAACACGTTACCATATCAAAATACTAATGACCGAGAACTAAGCAAACTTCCCACGTTAGTTATTGGCATCTTATGCTTATTGCCATAACTTGCCAATATCGTAACGTGTAAACAACAGTATTTCTTAACGTAATAACGTCACGATATCGGAATACTGACGACTGGAAGGATATCGATCATAATCTTTAACCATAGGGCAATAACATTCCCTTATTTTTTTTTTATTGGGCACCCCCTACATCCTTGTGTAAGGTGAAGCGCAGAAGCGTTTACAGTGCCCAACACGGAAGCATGCTAAGTTCATGCTTGCCTTTATATCTCATGAGTTAATGTCGTCAAGTTATTGGAAGCTCCAACAACTTGCCCCTGAATACGAATTCGCAACTTTCGATTTACACCAGGTACCTACTTTGCTGCTAGGTGAACAGGGACTAATGGGGGCTAGGAAGTAAGTCCAAACAACTTCCACCGGCCCGGGAATCGAACCCGTGACATCTCGCTTGCGAGGCAAGAACGGTACCGCTTCTACCACCGGTCCCCCCATTCCCATATAGTAACGTTGATCTGCCTTTTTACCCGTTACCGCCTCCAACACCAAGGGCCTCCACATGCTCGCGCCAGCCATTTCGATCTTGAGCCCTTTCCATGGTTGTTATACAATTATTGTATTCATTACTATGATCGACCAGACATAATTTTGCTGCGCCTTAGTGAAGTCGTTACAAGTTGTAGGTGTACTGTAGGTGTTTTGCGATAATTTATGGTTGTATCAAAACATTCCACTTACACTGTTCAACATTAGTATGTTTTGAGGTTACGGTATTGGGATAAAGTACATCCTGGTAACACTAAATAGCTTCTAACAATACACTAATTATCAGTGACTTATTACAACATACTCACGTGGCGGTGCGGCTTTGGAGTCTTTGACTGTGGTTGGGAGGGAGTTCTGGAACACCCTACAATACATGAACGATGTGCGTCGTCATGGTAACCACCACCTTACAGGTGGCATGCAGCCAAGCCTTGCTGACCAAAGTAACTTTTACGTCTTAGTTTTCTCATTTTATCCTTTAATTTCTTATTGATCGGTTTCATAAATACTACACAACTACACACTTATAAAATCCAATAGAAATCTGTGTTCGGAATCACAATGGTTCCCACCTATAGATATAATACTACAGTACAGTATTTTACTTTATAGTACACTGTTAACTAAAGATGTGTGGGTGGATTTCAGTTAATATGAAAATTTATCCCAAGGAGCTTTGTGAAATAGAGCCCTGGATTAACTCAATTGCTAGTAAAATCATACAAATTTGTCATTTACAAATTCGTAATTTTTCCAAATTTCAATTGGCCGTCATTAGATTAAGTGTGGCATCTTTTATGGTGAAGTCAAGTCAAATTTACATCAATTTTCTCAAGACATTTTACCTGATATTCCATTAATGAGGCTCAGGAAGACGTCGCCCTTCTAATCAGATTAAGACCGCCCAACTTAGTATAAATTTCACTCGAGCCAAGTTTAAAAATATAAACAATTAAGGAAAATTTTTATCAAGTGTGTTAATGATCGATTTGGTTACAAAAACTGGTAGATAAAAATTATTTAATATTTAAGGGGTCAGTCATTTCAAGGGTTAACATTTAACGAGAGACTGTTTGGGGAATGTGTGGGGGGAAGGGGGGGGGGTAGACCTTATTGCTGCCTTATGGCCTAAAAACCTGTGTTGTCATGTGTACACGATCATTTTTGGCAGTGTTTTAAGCCAGAGTACCTGTTACTGTACTTCACTAGCCGGTGGCGTTATCATTATTAGTACTAGATCATAGAGTATATAGTAAAAAAAAAGATCATAGAGTACTGTGGTATAATAATCAGCACGTTTATCATATTGTTTAATCTTTATATTCAACAAAAGTTTGGGATAGAGGGACAAAACAAGCATGTAATATTCTGAAATTTTATTTTTAATTTCTAAATGATGATGATGGAATGAATGAAATAATGGCTTAGCTTCCACAAGAAAAATGAATAATGCAATGAGGGAATATAAAAAACATATACTGTATATTCACACGGTACCCATAGTATAAAAACAATGACAGGGTTTACAAAGGGAGGGGCGAGTAACCCATAAATTAATAATAGCTATGTACAGAGGGCCAGGAAGGGGGCGTGGCCAAGGGAGGGCCGGGGGGCGGGACTGCTGACTGTGCCCGCCGGCCACGCTATGTACACACTACCACAGCTGACTTAGACCAGAGGTAAGGGCGGCCAGGAACACCCAGGGCCACACCACATGGAGCTAACACACACACAGACACTCGGGGCGCGGCACATACAGTGTATGCGCGGCAGGGCAGGACTAGACATTACGGCCCTGGCCGGCGCCAGGCTCGGCACAAAAATCAACCACCTTTGGTATGAGCAGGTATCACGGGTCGTCCACGCCCACACCAACGCGCGCACCTGTGGGCTGGTGACCCATGGGTGGCGGTAAGCGAGGGGTGGGGGCAGGGGAGTCCGGGGGGCCCCGTCATGACCGGTAGGTGCGGATCACGTCACGGATCACGGCACGGCAGATGGGGCACTGACCACCACCACGTCCTCGCCACTGTTGCAGCGCACATTCATAACACATACACATATGACCACACATGTACAGCACAGAGTCCACGGGCTTCTCGTAGCATACAGTGCACTCATGCAGGGCAGGGCCTGTTGGCAGGTCTCCCATAGAGGTCAAGGTGGAGGTGGCTGACACAGGCTCCATGTAGGCCCCACTGTACACAGAGGACATGGTGCCATGACCACCTAAGGTGTCTCGGGAGGAGGGCACAGGGGGTGGTGGTACTGGGTGTGGGTGGGTGGCGGGCGGCGAGGGCGGGCTGGGTGGTAAGCTAACTACCAAGGGCGACGCTCGTGACAGCTGAGGGTGAGAGGCCCTGCCCACAGGCTCTGGTCGACGAGGGGGAGAGTTGGAGGCTGCAACACGAGACAAGTTATTAGCGTTAGTCTCAAACAAGCTATAAATGTAGCATTGTAATGACGTATGATTGTTGCAGGAGTTAAAACGTTAGTTTAAGTCGTGTTGCTGTATTCAAACTAGATAAAATACGTGCGGTACACTGCAAGTATAATGCAAATGGAAAATAATGTTCGTGTTAAACTGTACCATTACACGTTATAATCAATAACAATAAAGGGCATAGAATTTACTCACCATTTTGTTGTGCATAAGTCTGCTGAGAGTCGTGGTTGACGCCCAGGCTGCGGATCTTGCTGGTGTTGCCATACACGTCGAAGAAGGCCCACAGCTGCAATGTGTGATCCACGTGCATGAACACCTGCGGGGTGGCGCCGTTCCGAGAAAAGGTGACCTCGCCATGGTGCGTGAGGGCGAAGGCCAGCTCGTCGCCGGCTTGTGGGGATGCTGCTACGTCCTTGCTCACTACCCAGTACTCGGGACGGTCCAGCAAAAGATCGCAGTCTTCGGGGAGGTCCGTGGGTTCTAAACCTGCTGGGTTAGCTGACGTCAGACCAAAAGCAAGGGCGCCCACGTACATGGCTTCTGTGTGCAGGACTTGCACCACCAGCTTCTCTCCTGGCCGCAGCGGCCGGGCTGTGAATACGTAGCCGTGGGAGTATTCGGTCTCTGTGCGTGCTGCCACAGTTCGGTCATTGTTCATGCGTACGTTGCGGCCACGGACGCGGTGGAAGGGCAGTGGTGTGAAGGTGGTGTGGGAGTAGTGACGCAGAGGCAGTGTGTCCGGAGAGCGAGGCGTTAGTGCCAGCTGTGCCATGGACGGTTGTAACCTGTCGACGCCCGAGTCGGGTCTCGCTGGCTGTGGCGGCTGAGGCTGCTGTGAGGGTGCCTGCTGCTGTGGTGGTGGCGGCGCCGGAGTCTGTGACTGAGGCAATACTCGGGAGTTGGCCGCTGAGGAACCTGGGCTCAGGTCATTCATTATTCGAACTCTGTTGTTGAGCTGAGCCAGAGGGTCCAGGAACTCCATTGCTGTGCTGTTGCCGTACACGTCGAAGAGGCCCCAGAGCTGTGATCGGGTGTCCACACCACCGAAGAACACGCCCCGCTCCTCGCCGTTGATGCCAAAGTGTACATCCCCGGTCGAGTCGACATAGTAAAAGAGAACACTGCCTTGTTCAGCGAAGCGTTCACTGAGAGCCTTGGCCCAGTAGCCAGGCTTGTTTGTCAGGTCTGGGCAGGCATATTTAGGCAGCGCATCACGCAGACCAGCTGGGTCCTGTGATGTGAACCCAAAACGAATGACGCCTGACCAGTTGGTAGACACCTCCAGAAGACGCAAGCATACACGCTCGCCGACCTTGATGGGGCGATTGGAGAAGGCGATGCCCTTACAGAAGCTCTCTGCCCTGCGTGCTACTTTGCCGTCGTTGGAGATGCGGACGTTGTCGCCACATACTGGGTGAAACGTCAGTGGCGGCAGGTTAGAAGACCCCGACCCACGACCAGCTGTAAGAAAAAATACTTAGTTTAGACATATGACCAATGATGCAGACATTATCTGGAAAATAATATAAAAAGCAACCATTACCAGCAACAGGTTATTCAAATACAAGAACATATATTTGCTTATAAGCGTTTCATAAAATTTCAGTCTAATATCAACTGGATATCGTAACTTAATTAAAACGAAAACAAATATTTTAGGTTTCAGATAATATACTGTCGGTGCTAAGAAGTTGTGAAGAAATACCATTGATATGTAGTTGTTAGGAGTACAGTATTGAGCCACGATATTACAATTTAACTCCGGTCACCATGAGACAATCCTGTCCTTAGAAACAACTCAAAATTCGATCAGCGAAGACGAGTAAGCAAATTAGACAACTGTAAAAGGAGTCTTGCATGAACGCTGTTAGACACAAGGGAATGCGACTATACATTACTGCATTTGCTCTCGTGTATAAACATCAAAACAATAAAATAAATAATGACAACCAAATGAGAGAATCCCGTTTCGACCATGTGGGCCAATTAAACGCATCACCATTACGCCTCCAGTCAGTCAGTCTAACAATGGTAGCTCTCATACGTGGGATACTAGCAAGTGTTCATCTCTTGCAATAGCGGGGTGGTGAAGTGGGCGTGCGGTGAATCCCACGCCCCACACTCACGCGAGGTCACCTGGACGGCCCACGACGCCCCCTGTAAACCAGGTCAAGAGAAAGGGTCATCTGTTCTGCTCAACCGTGCTGAGAAGCGCTTTGTTGTGGGATGGTGGGTGGCGGGGATGGGGCGATTCTGGGTACATTCTCATGCTAACCCACAAAGCCATAAACAGTAACAACAACACTAAGCTTTGGGAGAATTAACTACGAAACAACGAAGCTGCTCATCTTATTACCTAATGAGAACAAAGTTTCTGGTGTGATATAGTTAAGTCAGGTATCACAAAACATACCAAAGCAGTTTAGTATGAAACAAAGATTTGCAATCGGATTTCATTTTGCGAATCAAGTTTCCGACACGGACTATAGAGATAATTCCAGTATAAGTCATCCACCCCCTTTATCATGCCCAGGTATATATATCTCCAAGCGAACAAAGCGGAAAATGTTACGCGGGTTGCTCGCACGAAATGCTCCAACCAACATTTACTGTACCTGCTGTGTTTACTGAACGCTGGCGTGAAACCTGTTGTCCATTGAAATATTATGGAAAACTCTGCATTAGTTATGATCAACAGAGATTTGCAACCCATCAGTGTCAGGGAAAATTTGAAACATTCAACGGTATATTTATTCATATTTTTTATCACTTTTCACGGGTTATAACCACCTAGTTGCACAGTCCAGTTATCTTTCACCGAGGAATACCTCAACCCTAACGCACTAAAGCCGCCTGCCTATCTTGCTCACAACTACCCACATGCTAAACTACAACACAGTTATTAGCGTTAACTGTTATAATAACTTCGAAGAAGCAGAGTATACAAATTCCAACTTTGGAAACTTGCAAAACTGTCTCGGGACCTCATGACGCTTAATGAAGGGAGGCCCAGTAAGAGTTACCATTGCCGGATCTTTAGATTTGCCCAGCGCTGTAATCAAGGCACAAAGTTTCACGGTTCGCCTGAGTTACGAGAGTTTTGGAAGAGGTAGCGAGGGGCTGCTTCAACCCCATTCCACCCCCAAACCCACCCACCTCCCGAGACGAGCCGCGGCGGAAGTCATGGTTACCGGATGTGAAGCACCGTCGCCCGTGCCGCAGTCACCACCAAATTGCTTACCCTTCCCCCCACCTACCACCACTAACACCGTCTACACACTACCAACCATCACATCGGAGTTTATCACCCAACTTTGTGAAATGCACGAGCTCAACCTCCAACATCGGCTGCGTAACCAAGTCTACCCCTAGTGACAAGTCTATACATATCAAATGACATGCTTTACATCATACTGATACAAAAACATTAAAGTTAATACTAACCCAATCCCATGCGTCTCTTGAACTTTTTAAGGACTTTCATTTTCTTGAAAATGGGTCCCGCTGTATAACAAGTGACAGTGGGTTCTGCGGCGTATTCCTCAATACATAAGGCAGGCATCACAGTGGCTGGGGCGCCTGCTAGTACATCCAGGGTATGCCACTAACACTCCACTCACAACAACTTCATGTACTGGGGCACTTTCACTGCGTATAAGCTCTTCTATGCCAGATTTTTTTTTTTAAATACACTAACAAAACAGTTCTTCACTGCTGTTCTAAGATACCCTTCACTGCTGAAGTCTTGACACACAAATGCATAATCCTTTCTGTGTTGGATCAAGTTTAAGGCACACTAAAATCAATCCCGGCGTGGCAGGAGGGACGAGAGAGTGGAGAGTGGAGCGTGGAGCAGTACGTGTGACCCTTGCGGAGTGTGACTAGAGACTGGCCTGAGCTTGGGGTGACGGTGGGAAGGCAGCTGCTCCCCCTTACGACCCCCCCCCCCCTTCACCCTCCAACTCCCCGGCTGCAGGAGGGGGGGGACCACGCGGGGGAGAGGGGGGAGTGAAGGAAACAATACGAATTGGTTATTAGTCGTTTTGCTGCCAATATTTAACGTAAAACTACTTAATATAAATTCATATAAACGTTGTACCACACTGCACATGTTCCGAAATAGAGGCTGTGGCTAAACTGCATTTTCATCAGGTTTCCTTAGTCTTCCCATACTTGACTACAAGGAACACGACCTAATTGGAGTTAGGGGAAGTTTTAGATACTGTATTGTTCATTAGACTGAAATATGATAGGCATACACATAATTTCATAGAAATTTATGAACACTGAACTCGTCTGTGAGGGCAAATAGTCCACTCAGGCGTCATAATGTCTGAAGCTGATATGTTGAGTTCAATTGAGAAACGAGGACCGGTGTGCTCGTATTGAAGCGACCATTAACCACAGGGAATAGAAATTAATATTCTTTGGAATAAAGTTTTACATTCAGCCATAATTCACGGCCACATGCTTGGCAACACCGGAAAACTGGGTGGCTGGGTGGGAGGTAAGAGGGAGGGAAGGGGCGGGATGGGGGATAATGGGGGCTGGCGGGAGAAGGGACAGATGTTCAGCCAGCGCGCACGAGCTGTACACACTCCCGCCAACCCCGACACTCTCATCTCTTCTCTTTCTCACTTTATAAACCCACCCAGAACCGTTTCATCAACGCCCATAAATAGTGTTTATATACACCCAGTACAGTTTGTGGCTGTCAAGGTTAAATGTAAATCGAAGAGACATCAACGGTGTTTGGACTGTAAGATAAACAAGAGAATGTGGCTGTTGAGCTGTCAGTTCAGAGGAAGAAACAATTACCTCGTTATGGATTACTTAATGCAACATGTTCACATTTAAGACACTACAAAAGGAAACACGAAACAATCCAAGCTCATAACATAAAACTAAGTCTTATAGTCTTACTTTCTCTTGGTATTCAATGAAGATAAATAAATGACAAATCCCTGGTCGTCAACATTTAGCGGTGGTGCACACGGACGGGCACACAGATGCCATTCCCCTCCCTCCATAACTATTTTATTTCATTACTCTCCCCTAATTTAATAGTCTTCCAGCATCATATTTACGTCCTGCATGGGCAATTAACAACACTTATCGCCATTTGAGGGACAAACTACACTTACTGGAGCATTATACAGGTGGGTTGGACGCAGGTCAGTGATCCTTAGGTAAATCGCAGATGCTAGAGGGTAGCAAGTTGTGGTAGTGGCTGGTAGCCTCCTAAACCACTGGAACCTGACAAATACCTGCTGGTCGGGCTGGTGCCCTCACTCACACTGCCCCAGTACCTCACCCGACAGCCCTGCGCTAATCAAATGATGTCGAAACCTACTGTAGTCTGGTACTTACTGACTCTACTAATTATTTACAGTGAATGGCTGCACGGATGACAGCCTGAGACACAATAGTATGATTTATCAACTGTAATAAAGATACAAGGCCAAGCTACAGGTAACAGTGCAGTGAATAAAGAACGTGTGTTTAAAATCTTGGCTCTCAGTTTGGGCAAGACAGATCTGTGGGACGAACCACATGACAACTGGAACACAAATCCTACGATCTGTAACACACACAACTAGGGAACTTGATTAAAAGCTGCCTGGGACCCGACAGCTGCCTTAACCCTTCTAAGTTCACAGCGAAGGGCGGGGAACCCTGAGCTACAAGAGAGTAGCTTTTTAGCTTATAGTGTTCTAGTGGATAAGCTGCCGGACTACCAATACTGGTGGTCTGGGCTCGAAACCCGGCACCCAGCGGGGGGAAATAACAACTAGTATGTTGCGATGCTCTCTCTCTCTCTCTCTCTCTCTCTCTCTCTCCACTTCCGTTAAGCTGTACACCGCCAAGTTTTATTCCACCAACACATTAATTACGTTGTATTGTCACAATAAATGTCCACATTTCACACAATATTATTAACGGGGTATTATGCTCCAACCCTTTGTATTCACACCGTAAAAGTGTCGTGTCCCGCTTTATATCACCCGCTGCTGGCCCTAAAAACTATCTCTGGATTCCTTTGGCCGGGTTCTCAAAGGCTCTAGCGTTAAATGTTCCCCCACTGGAGACGCGAGAACACATCTAACTCACTTAAAACTTAGGACACAGTCAAGGCGGTGCTCTGAGACTGTACTATAACTAGATATATTCTTTTTTTTATCCCGTGTATTTGTGGGACAATCAACTAGCTGAAAACAGAACATCTCCGGAGACCGACTACACAGTCAGTTATTGTCCTGCCTGTACTGTTGTTCCTGGGGCGAGGACCACCACCAGTGTGTACGATCACCACCGCTGGGATTATAAGGTTGACCAAAACACACACACACGGAGCTGCAACTGTGTCCACGTGTCTCCCACTGTTCTGTTTATCAACACAATGTGAAAAGAGTGAGGATGTCCCCATAACACAGGACCCACACGAACACGCCTGACAATAACACCCGCCGAGCGTTCACTAGCAACAGCATTACGGAGGGTCAAGAAAGGTGAGTCTGTTTGAGATTAAAGATGATGTCCCGTTATACCGGAAGTGAGTGGAAAAAAAAGCTTCAATCCTCACGCCTCCTGACCCTTGAGAACAATGAGTTAGATCCCTTGCCAGCGATGCCATAACCCTTTGAATAGCTACAATGACCAATTCCCTTGAGTACTGTGGTATTGTAAACTTCACACGGGGCAGTTGTAATGTATTGTTAAGCTTCAACAACGTAGGTAAACGTGTGTACTAATTGGTATTACATTCACCATCAACAATGTAAGGGGTTAAGTCATAGTATATAAAGGGGAGCTAAGGGGTAATTTAGGGGGTACAAATATGGCATCTCTCTATGCTGAACCAGGGTGAACTTTTTAACATTGTTTAGAGGTCACCTTAAAGGCTCACAGCTGACATCTCAAGAGTGATTGTTGACCTCACACACACACACACACACGACGGAGAAGCTGTGAACTGAAATTCTTTGACCACCTCCTACAGTAGAACACCTGACGGGGGAGGTTCTTGTCCTTGTGTATCCTTCAGGAGAGACATGTACAGTTTACACAGGTGAGATATAACGCGCGGCTGCTTCTTGGATGCCGAGGAAGGTTAAAAAAGTAAATTATACCCCAATTAACATTTTAGTGAAGGTTTATAGAGTGTGGCCAAGGTGAGAGTCTTTGTTTGTCTCTGTACAGGTGATGTGTGAGGTAAGGTAGATAGATAGATGATATATAGATAGATACGATAAATATTTGTTCACTAATAATCATCATACGAGTTCACATCACTGCAGCCTATAGGTAGACACTGCAGCCTATAGGTAGACACTGCAGCCTATAGGTAGACACTGCAGCCTATAGGTAGACACTGCAGCCTATAGGTAGACACTGCAGGTAAACAAAGGCCAACAAACAAGAGAGCTGCTCAAGGTTTAATTTCCGCCACAGGATCCGCCCGCCTCCTCCTTTGCTGCTTCGTCCTTGTAAAGATTCACATTGACACAAGATATGTTATGATTTCTTGAATGTGTAGCTGTGATTCCATTCGTTTACGGGATTACCTGTAGATTAGACAACCCCATTATAAAGGTAATCTAATCTAACCAAACCTAACCTAACCCACCTAGGTAAGCATTAAGGTGTTTTTTAATCTTCAGGTGAAATGAGTTTGGGTGGAAGGGGAGGTAATCTTCATGTGATCCCCACGTCAGACATAATCCACGTGGTGTCTGTAGCTTTCTTCCCTCCCTCCCTTCCTTCTCTCCCTCCCTCCCTCTCCTTCTCTCCCTCCCTCCCCATCCTTCCCTCCAACCCACTTCCGTCCGCAGGCTGTCCATACCACCCCGCAGTGAGCCGCACATGGCCTAATATTTACACCAAGCCGCAGTCACCACCCCTCTCCTCACCCCGCCCCGCCCGCGCCTACCTCCGCCCCTCTCCATGGACTGATGTGGGGCTTGTGGGCGTGCGGGCGTGAGAAGTGTTAAAGAAGAAAGAGGAAGTACCCAGGCCGTCATCCATCACCTCTTACACTTGGAAGAAACAAGACAAAAATCTCCCGAACTAAACCAATTTTTACCTTCAGGTTAGGTTATGTTATGCTAGGTTAGGTCAGGTTATGTTATGTTAGGTTATGTTAGGTTATGTTAGGTTGTCGCCTTTCTTCAAATCCCTTGTGATTGGTCGTCAGCACCTCACCTTGGCCTCACACAGGTATGATAATTACTTTAGCAACTTATGGGGATTTTTTTATACTAACCTCTGGCCGCCTGCTGCTCCCCATACAGTGTGTTTCTGGCCCCTCCTCTCACTTACAAATATTTACATTCACGTCTCTTACACTAGGTTCTCCAGGCCGTGTATGTATGTATGTATGTATGTATGTATGTATGTATGTATGTATGTATGTATGTATGTATGTATGTATGTACTGTCTGTATGTATGTACTGTCTGTATGTATGTATGTATGTATGTATGTATGTATCATCACTATTGTCTCTGGTGGAATGCATTAACGTTTCACCTCTGCTCTCCACTTCCCTCCCTCTCCCTCCACCTACCTAACACCCCCTCCTCCTAACCCCCCCTCCCGGTCTCCTCCCCTCTCTTAGGTGGTCAGGGGCACAGTGACGTCATTAGCGGGGTCGACTTAGGTCAAGTGAAAGGGAGGATTGAAGGTAGGCCATGCCACCTCTCCTCCCCTCCCATCCTTTCCCAGCCCCTCCCCTTCCCATCCCTTCTTTCTCAGCCCAGCCCAACCAAGCCCCTCCCTTCCCCTCCCCTTCTTTCCCAGCCCCCTTCCCTCCCCTTCTTTCCCAGCCCCCTCCCCTCCCCTTCTTTCCCAGCCCCACTATTCCCTCCCCTTCTTTCTTAGC